GATCTCAAGGTCTTGGGACTGAGCCCAATCCATGCTCAGTAGGGAGTCTGTTTAAGGATTCTCTCTCTCTCTCTCTCTCTCTCTCTCTCTCCCCCTTTGCCCTTCCCCTTGTTCCCATGCTCACTCATGCTCTCTCTCAAATAAATAAATCTTAAAACAAAAATTATCACCTCCACACAAGGTTGTAGTGTTGGTGATACAAATAAAAGCACCTATTACAACAAATGATATTTTGTAGATGTTCAGTAAATATCATCTGAAAATATAAACACCAATTTTTATATTTAAATTAAAACCTGAACTTGTGTTGCAATTATTCTCCCATATACTTTTATTTATTTTACTTTATTATTATTTTTTTAAAGATTTTATTTATCTGTTTGACAGAGAGAGAGATCACAAGTAGGCAGAGAGGCAGGCAGAGAGAGAAGGGGAAGCAGGCTCCCCTCTGAGCAGAGAGACCAATGTGGGGCTAGATCCCAGGACCCTGGGGTCATGACCTGACCCGAAGGCAGAGGCTTAACCCACTGAGCCATCCAGGTGCCCCCCATATACTTTTAAATCTTCATTAGAAAAAAGTAATAATAATAAGTAAATCTTGGGGTGCCTGGGTGGCTCAGCCATTAGATGTCTGCCTTTGGCTCAGGTCATGATGCCAGGGTCCTGGGATCGAGTCCTGCATTAGGCTCTCTGCTCAGCGGGAAGCCTGCTTCTTCCTCTCCCACTCCCCCTGCTTGTGTTCCCTCTCTCCCTGTCTCTCTCTCTGTCAAATAAATAAAATCTTTAAAAATCAATCAACCAATCAATCTTCAATAGAGAGCTGTGGTTGGGAAAAAAATAATTTTTCTCAGTTACTGGTAGAGCTCCTTACTCAGTTTATTCAGAAATTCTGGAGTCAGTAAAGGAAACAGGAGAGAAAATTAGAGTTAGTGCACATAAAAAACACAGCATCATATTGATTTTACAAGAGATAGTTATGCGATAAAGGTTCTTTCTTTTCCCACCGGTTCCCCTCAAACCATTCATTATATTTCATGCCTTCTCTAATTTCACAACTACTATTCTTGGCTCTCACTGAGCTAGATCAGGAAGGTGTCATTTTTTTCCATACAAAAAAAAAAAAATCTCATCTTCCAGATTTCAATCCATTTAGTCTCTAGGCTCTTGGTTAGGCCTTGCTGCCAGCTATAATTCTGAGATGATACAATCATTTTCATGAAACGACATTTCAAATATCTCAGTAAGACTCACACTCGGATTTGACGAATAGGTCCGTATTTCCCAAATATATCATACATTTCTTCAGCTGTGATTTTGTATGGCAAATTTCTTATATATAAAATCCGATTTACTTCAGGTGGAAGTCGAATCTAAAATGAGAAATATGTACTATTATTATAATCAGGGGCAGAAGTGCTACTACCTAAAAAAAATTTCTCATAATAAATTCTCACAGTAGGGGCACCTGGGTGGCTCAGTCACTGGGCATCTGCCTTCGGCTCAGGTCATGATCCTGGGGTCCTGGGATCGAGACCCGCATCAGGCTCCCTGCTCAGTGGGAAGCCTGCTTCTCCCTCTCCCATTCTCCCTGCTTGTGCTCCCTCTCTCTCTCTGTCAACTAAATGAATAAAATCTTAAAAATAAATAAGTAAAAATAAAATCTCACAAAAAGCAAACAAAAACCCCACATAATAGTCAAGAATAATAATTATTTTTAAAAGATTATAATCTGATATTCCTGAAAATGGCCTTCTTTTCAGAAAAGCAACTGGGCACTAGTTTTAGGGAGGACTATTAGTAGGAACTAGTAAGGGCTACTATAAAACCCAGGCTTCCAGTCACTGCAGTTAAACAAGGATTTTCAACCTCATTTAAAAGTCCTCAATGCCTCAGACATATATGGGAAAGAAAGAAGGGAACTGTTCTTGCTTCCAAGACAATAAAACTCCCATTGATGACTCTTATCTGGTCTTTTTAAGAACGTGTTACATCAATAATATCTTCCCTCTCTTGAATTTACAGTTTTTCCTTCATCCTTGGCTTCTATCCCCTAGGTGAGCAGCTACTTATGTCCTGACAATTGTCATGTGAGAAAAAAAAAAAAAAAGTCATTTGTATCCCTCTTCCTTTGCTCAACAAATATTTACTGAGCACCTTCTTTTGCACATATCAGGCAAGGGAAAAAGCAAGGTTTCTGCCTTCCCTGAACTTATCAGCTCCCTATTTACTACCCTATTTTGCTTTTTTCTTTTCTTTCAGTCAAGCATCTGGAAAGATCTATACTCACTTACCTCATAATCTTTACTTCACTGACACTCATCAACCTACCACAACCCAGCTTCTACCCCAGCACTGATGAAAATACTTTTACGCTAAGACCTTTAAAAAGGGGTAGGGAGGGGTACAGGGAGAGAATCTCAAGCAGACTCCGTGCTGAGCGTGGAGCCCACAATGGGGCCAGATCCCATAACCCTGAGATCAAGATCTCAGCCAAAACCAACAGTCGGGTGCTTAACAGACTGTACCACCCAGGCACCCTGGTATTAAGACTTTATTTTTTTCTTTTTAAAAAAGATTTTATTTATTTATTTGACAGAGAGAGAGAGATCACCAGTAGGCAGAGAAGCAAACGGGGCAGGGGGAGTGGGGGAAGCAGGCTTCTCACGGAGCAGAGAGCCCGTCATGGGGACTGATCCCAGGACCCTGAGGTCATGACCTGAGCTGAAGGCAGAGGCTTAACCCACTGAGCCACCCAGGCGCCCCGCATTAAGACCTTTTAACTTCAGTGATCAATTGTCGTCACGCTTAACTTCTGAGGCTTCTGACTGTGTTGACTATTTTTGGCACTTTTATTTCCTACCACTCTGGCTAGTTCTTCTCACTCTTCTTTGCCATTAAAATATGCTCTTCTACAGAGTTTTACTTTTAGACTCCTTTTTGACCCTTTGTATACTCTCCTTAATTCTACACTCTTTGATCTCTTAACCACACAGATGGTTTCCACAGTAAGTTGATGACTCTCAAATATGTATCTCCCATCCTGAGTTCACTCCTGTGTTCTTATTAACATATTCAATTACATACTAGATACTCATTTGCTCAAAAACTATTAAACTGGCAGCTTTTTAAGGTATTAAGCTAAGTGTTGTATAAGAGGAAAAAGAGGATACTTATTCCCTGTCCTCAAACTAGTAGTGGTGACAAATGGTCAACAAATAAGTACAATAAAGTTTTAGATTTAAGATTTTGGACTGAGTTCAAACAGACAATTGACACTTCCAATTATAATACACTTCTCCCATAAATCTGCTTTCTCATTCTGTACGATACTGTATCACACTTTCTTTCCTCAAACCTTACCACCACCACTCCCTCTAACATCTGAGTTGCGTTGTAACCTCTTCCTTGCCTATCCTAGGAATTGATCTTGCCTCCTGCTTACTGAAGAAAGTATACATCACCAAATGTTAACTACCTTATATTCATGTCACTAAACCCACCGATCTAAATTCATCCATATCCACCCCCTCTTCCTGTCATCCTCTACTCAAAACCTTCACTCCTGAACTTACCTCATCTTTCTCCCACATCATCAATTTCTCCCACTTTACTGGATCATTCTTAGTGACACACAAATACACCTTATATAAAGTCAACTATTATTCAACCTCTGTACTCCCTATTCACATGAAAACTTGGAAGAGCTGTCTCTATTTTTTAAACTTCCAACCTCTTTTCATCCCACTGCGACCAAGTTTTCATCCACTGAAATGATCATCGTCAAGGTCACCAAAATTCTGCATCTCACCAAGTCCAATTTTATGTCTTCATTATCCTATACCTCTCAGCCTTACAGCTGATCTATCCTCTTTTACTTGAGACAGTTTTTCTTAGGTTTCTATAATACCCCATTCTCTAACAAAAGAATGTAAACAGAAGGGCTTTTCGTTTTATTCACTGTTGTATCCCCAATACCTAGACTAGTGTCAGGCACACAGTACATGTTCGGTAAATTTAACTTCTGAATTCTTCCCTATCTCTCAATTCCGGCACATAGTAGGTGCTCAAACATATTAAAACATTAATGAAAAATCCAAAAAGCTCCGTGACTTTAGGAGAATCCCAGGCTTTGGTTGCCTGTGAGATATTAGATTACTTATTGCAGACTAGTCTGTGCTACTGACTTGGGGGCGAAAATCCTGTCGCTAGGTCGTAGGTGCTGATCAAGCAACAAATGCTGTAGGACTGACACCAGAGTAAAAAACAGAGGGAACTCTCAAAAGGGGTGGAGCCGGAACTGTGGCTCAAGGAGCATATCCGCAAGGACGGGGCCAGGATGGAAATGCCAGTATTAGGACAGTAAATTCTGGGCTACTCTGGCCTGGGGAACCGAGCAGGGGCAAAATACACAGTTCCACGCCCTTAAAAAAGTCCAGGAGAGAGGTCCGCCCCCCCCCCACCCCGCCCCATTCTTCTGCTGAATGCCCGGAAACTCACATTCGCCCTCTTGGCCGCTTGCATCGCCATCTTGGCGGACTGATAAAGTTACTGCAACAAACGCTGGAATTCCTCCGGACACCTCCGGAGCTCTTGCTACTGGACCGCCACACGGCCTCAAGCCCAGGACATCAACATCCAACCGCCGCCGGAAGCTTTACTACACGCCGGAAGATCTCCCTCTTACGTCCAGACGTGCTGACGTAATGTCCCCTTTCGAAAAGACTCCGGGGCAAGAGGAACCTGAAACGAAAAGAGAGAACGGCAAGATGAAAGGCGAGCGTTCGAGACCCTTTTACAAGCCGCACCGGAAAGGGTGGGGCCTGGGTTAAAGAAGGGGCGGTGTTCCTGTCGAGGCGGCCCTGAGCGGAGGATCCGGCCAGGGGGCGGGGCCTAGGAGAGCCGGACGAGGTAGGGGCGCTCCCAGGTGAGTTGCGGGGGTATGGGGGGGGGTCCTGACGTGGGACGGGTCTCAGTGAGGCGCGCGCGGCGTGGGTGTAGGGCTGGTGGGTGGGCCCGGGCTTCTGGTGCTGCGCAAAGAGGCTTTCGGGGGTTGTGGCACGTTGTGTAGTGGCTGACGCTGTTCGTTCGGTATCCGCGACCCCCGGCCCTGGACCAGAGTTGAGTACCCACTCTTCGGGCCTGTGCTGTAATCCCTGCGACAACTGCGGTCGCGACTCCCACCCCACCCGCGCCGCGGCGCAGGCCGCGGTCTGGGGCCGCCACAGTGAGAGGGCAACCCTTCAGATCTACTCTTTATTTCATTCGATTTTTTTTACACGGATCCGGAGGCGAGAGCAGGGGAGGGCCAGTAGGTTACAGGGCGGCTTGGAGTAGCACCCGATCTCTTTCCTGCGTACTATGGACTTTCTCCAGTTTGTCCTGGGAAACTTGTCCTTCATTGCGGTTCCAGGACGATTTTGCCCAAGTTCTTGTTACTCTCCATGTATGCATGGGCCTCTTGGATTGCAGTCACGGGGTAGACTCTGTCCAACACGGGCAGTAGACGTTGGGGACTCTCCGTGGAGAAGTGGGGTAGGATTTGTTCTGTAAAAGCCTCCACCAGCCTTTGCTTGTACTTAAGATGAGGAAAAGGAGACATCAGCCTAGACAAAGACTTTACCTTGCTGCTCCCCATCCTCTTATTAGCCTCTGTGCTCTCTCTGAAATGTGTACACACCTGAAGATGCACAGAGAGTACTCACCCCCTTCACTACCAGCATGTATGTGCGTGCCCCCAAATGTATAATCTCTTCTGTACCAGGGAAAAAGCCTGAATCCTGTACTAAAATATTAGTGGCACTGACAACACGACTGTTCTTAAAGGTTTAAAGCAGGTGGTGGCCACAGACAGGATTTCTGTAGGCTCGGTTCAAGAGGGATGTTTAAGCTCTACTATCCCACAGGTGTGAAATACTCAGTGGGAAAACATTCCCCAGTCTGGTACCTGCTGGAGTACCACATAGAGAAGATTTCAGTAGCATAATCTATTGAAGGCAGAACCTTAACTAACCTTATTCACCTTTCTTATCACACCTTTCCTTTGAAGACAACATCTTGGCACTATTAGAAATATATTTCCTAATATTGTCAATGCTTTGTTCATTCTGTTAGAAAATTTTAAATAACATGCGAAATGTTCCCTACGTTCCAAGATGTTGAGACTTCTATTGACTACTTTTAATTAGTTCTGTGAAAATAGTTACTTATTTATTCATGGGAGGGGGCAGGTTTCTACATAGGCTCTCTAACAGAAGATGTGTCAGATCTTCCTTTCTTGGAGCTATATAAAAGCACCACACTTTTGTGGATAATAAATACATCACATTATCTTCTCACTCATCATTCACCTTTTTGTCCCTCGACCTCAGCAGAGTGGTGATCAGACTTCCTCGTTTAAAAAGTAGCTTTGAAAATAGAGGTCCACTGACGTCAGTTCCTCCCATCAGACCATAGAGAATCCAGCGGCCATCAAGAGCCAGGCAGTTGACGTTTTTCTCCCAGTAGGATCCACCTATGCAGTCTAGAACAAGGTTGACTCCAGCACCTTTCACAGGAAACACAGATTTGTAATGCTCATCAGACACAGAAGGCTTTGTGCAAAGTAAGATTCCATAGTATATTTGTGAATATATGGGTATATATGCAGGTGGGAGTGGTAAATCTGTAGGTTGGAACTAGAAGCACTGCTCATAGAAACACTGTTGTAGATGGAGTTTAGGTAACTGAACTTTATCATACATGTGTGCTGTAGTTCATTTTTATGATTCCTAACCACAGCAAGAGGGAAATGGGGCAACACCATGACCTGGTTTATCCCTTTTGATCCCCATTAAGTACAAAACCCACAGTCACCTAGGCACGAATGAGAACAGAACAGGGGAGGTCCGCCCAGTCTACAGGACAGGCAGGTTCACATCTAAATTATGAAATGTCTGTGCTGGGTTATCTGAATCGTAGTTTTACAGGTGTTCGTTTCACGTTTCCTTTTTAACTCACGTGAAAAATGGAAAGGGATAAGCCAAAAACAAACACATTTGGCTTGGGAATACAGAGGCTCACCCCTTTAGAGAGCTACCATCCTAACCCTACTCTGACCACACCAAGCTCCCGTTAACTCATTGCAGAGTAACTCGGAAGAATGGCTCCTTGCTAATTCTAGTCCAACTCTCTCTGACTCATCCGGTTTCTAGAAAGTGTATGAATGCTATCCCTTATGAGAATGCACACAGAAACATTTTAGTCCTAAACACTACCTGCCTGTCTCCAGAGGTCAAACACCTGAATGCTAGAATTTGGCAGGGTAGCTGCTGTGTATTTAGCAGAGCACTGGCAAACTTCAGGCTGGTGAGGACTTGACTGAACCATCTCTGAAATTCCTGTTGGGCTGCAGGAACTACTGCTTACCTTTGGTGAATTTCATTGTTGCTTCAGAAAAATCCTCTTCTTTGTAATTGAATCCGGCCGCTGCTCCAAGCTTTTCTGCCATCTGAAGCTTGTGTCAGGAGCCAGCTGTGACTAGAGGAATAGCTCCAGCCATGCGGGCGAGTTGGATGGCAGCCGTGCCCACACCACTTGATCCTGCATGGATTAGCACAGTCTCTCCAGCCTGAACGTTTCCTGTGGCACAAAGTACAGGAACCATTCTCTTTACAAGTGCTACACATGCCCCACGCAGGCATATTCTACCACACGCCCCTGGCCCTGGCCCACCAAATGCCCAGTTTCTTGGTCTCTTAAGAGAACACGATGACAGCTCTTTTTTGTTTTACTGACTTATCAAAGTGGAAGAAACCCTTTTGAAACGGTTGTTAGCAGTCACATCCACAATCTGTTTTACTTAAGAAATGATCCCGAGATGCGCATCTCTGACATGTACCTTAATAGATAAGAATACGTACCATTGGGGCACCTGGGTGGCTCAGTGGGTTAAAGCCTCTGCCTTCGGCTCAGGTCATGATCTCAGGGTCCTGGGATGGAGCCCCGCGCTGGGCTCTCTGCTCAGCAGGGAGCCTGCTTCCCTTCCTCTCTCTCTGCCTGCCTCTCTGCCTATTTGTGATCTCTGTCAAATGAATAAATAAAATCTTAAAAAAAAAAAAAAAGAATGCGTACCATTCCCACTGTCACCACCTGAAGCCAGTTCCTCTTCAGTCTGAAACTGGTCTCCAGCTGGTCTCAACGATCCAGTCACCACACACAACCACCAGGCTCCTCTTACTTAAATGGAGCCTTCATTATGTTACTTTCTCCTCAAAATATAAAGTGGTTCTCAGCTGGCTCTTTCATCAGGTTCAGGCAATGTGCCATTCAAGGCCACTGAAACCCAGTCCTAGTCTCATCTTTCACAGATAATCATCCTTCACTCTGAGTGGAGCAGCTGATTTTACTGGGACAGTCTCTTAAGCCACCAAGGCTTGCCTTCTGTCACATCTCAACTTTACCCACCCTTTAAGTCCTTCTCTTCCAGAAAGCCCTCTCTTAACCACCTGTGCCCACACTAACTATTCCCATCTTGAGTTTTGTTTTTTTTTAAGATTTCATTTTTTCATTTGACAGAGAGCGAGCAGGCCCTGGAGGGAGGGGCAGAGGGAGAGGGACAAGCAGACTCCCTGCTGAGCAGGGAGCCCGATGCAGGGCTTGATTCCAGGACCCTGGGATCATAAACCGAGCTGAAGGCAGATGCTTAACTGAATGACCACCCAAGTGCCCTTTTTCCCTCCCACTCCCATCTTGAGACAAGGCCATCTTCTGAACTCTGTGGTTGTCTAATTTCTGTACATGCCTTGTCTTCCCAGGTTTACTCTGTTCCCTGACAACAGGGACCAAATCTTAGGCTGGCCCCATCACCTCTTGGCTGACTTCAGTAGGACTGAGGAGGAATAAAAGACTGGCCCCTTCTACCGTACTAGGGCTTGCAGAGAGAAGCTCAGCGAGACTGAGCTGCTGAGACTACTGGTGGGCCTACAGTGTGAAGATGGGCACAGGCCTTCTATCCAGCGCTTTCTAGACTTTCCATCTGCTAACCATAATTTTCAGCCTCAACATCAGGTCATTGGTAACATGGTATGAGGACCTCATACTACTGATAGTACATCAGGGTGAGCTGTTGGGTGTGGCGTAGTGGCCAGGTTAAAGCCACCCCAGAAGACTGCTGGGTTTTGAGGTGGCTGAGTCATCAAGTAACGGAACCACACTGTATAGAGTGAGCATGGGGGGGGCCTCCTCACCCACGAGATGTAACAGCTGGAAGGCGGTAAGCCAGGCCTCTGGGATGGCTGCAGCCTGGGACAGGGTCAGTCCTGCTGGGATGGGCATGAGGAACTCTTCAGGGGCAGTGACATACTGAGCCTGTCCCCCGCCAGGCAGCAGAACCATGGCTGGGTCCCCAATTTTCCAGTGCCCCTGGCAGGCAGGCCCCAACTCTGCTATGTGTCCAGATGCCTCCAGTCCCAAAATGCTGCTGGCTCCTGGGGGTGGGGCGTACTGGCCCTGTCTCTGCAGAAAGACCAGTGAGCTAAGTGAGAAGCATGGTCAGGAATGTGTGCATTACCGTCCCTGGGCCTCTTCCAGAAGCCCCTCTTTTTCTCAGAAAGGTCAGGATAAAGACAGGTTTTGTAAGTCAGGAAAAGAGACAGGAAAAGTTAATTCAAGTAAGATACTGTAGGTCATATAATCAGTGGATGTCAGAACTGGTAGGGTCCTTAGCTATTTATCTGAACGCCTTGTTTTACAAATGGAGAAACAGACCTGTAAAGGGAAATGCCTTGTCCAAAGTCTGAAAGTAAATTAGTAGCAGGATTTAGGAAAAAAACCATGGAATCATTTTTTTTTTTTAATTTATTTTTCCCCCGAAACCTCATTCACTCCATTTAACCCCATTTCCCACAGATAAAGGGCTCAGCCATTGACACAGGGAAGTCAAGTGTAGCCCGGGACCAGAGCCAGATCTGGGTTCCATGATGGTGCCCACCAGCAAAAACCATGGACTCCTTAATGATCATTCTCATAATAAGTGCCAGGCTCTGTCCTCACGCATTGCAATCCTCAGAAGCCTCCGACTGGAGGCTTCAGAGCAGAGGGGCTGAACTAAGAGTGTGTACTAGAACCATTTGAGGAGCTTTGTCAAGGTATACATGCCTGCGTTGTGGTCATGTTTATTTTTGAAAAGTGCCCCAGGGGTGTCTGGGTGGCTCAGTCGATTGGATTTCTGCCTTCCCTCTGCTGCTCCCCTTGCTTGTGCGAGCACTCTCTCTAATAAATAAATAAACAAAAATAAAATCTTTAAGAAAGAAAAGTGCCCCCAGGTGATTCTGGCACGTTTCTGTTACCCCAATCAATGCAGCTGGCTCAGTTTAGCGTTTCAAACAGCAGGAAAAAAGATTCCTAGAGTATAGTCCCTGGCCAGCTCCGGGACCCTACAGCTCCCTGATCCTACAAGCAGAAAGAATGCAGACTTCGGATCCACAAAGCCCTAGATTTGAATTACAGCTGCCCGGATTACTGCTGTCGTGGCCTTGGGTACACTGCTTAACCTCTGACTGTTTATCTGTATAATGCGGAAGGTAAGCAGGATTGCCAGAGGAGTGAAATAGAGACCGAGCAAGGCCTAACACACAATCCCCTCAACAAAGGGCAGTTCCCATCTCATCTGTTAGCCTGAGCAGATGATGGATTAACACAGCGTAGATGCTGCTTTGTAAATATCCCGGTATACTGTCTTAGAACCCCCAGCACACATTCTGTAGACACATCCTGATGAATGTTAACAGGCAATGCCCTAGGTCATTCCTTCATCTATCTGGTAAATGTTTATGGAAGACCCTGGAATCCCACCCTGCCCCAGCCACTGCCTGACCCCTGGGCACCTGGAGTAAGTCGGCCCGGTTCAGGGCACTGGCCGCCACCTTCAGGAGGACTTCACCCTCTGCTGGGCTGGGCTTGGCCACCTCCTTCAGGTAAAGGTTTTCTGGTCCTCCCGGCTTGTCGAAGTGCACCGCTAGCATGTTCTCTGAGGACACTGTAGAAGCAAGAAACGGAGCCCGAGGCCCTTTGCGGAGCGCAGCGCCCCCTGCCGGCCAGCGGCTTCCCCTTCGGTCTCCACGAGGTCTGACCCTCGCTGAGGACGCAAGTTAGGAGCGGGGGAAGTGGGGACACCGTCCCGGAGCGTGAGGCAAGCTGCGCTGCCTCTGAGCTAGAACGCCCCCCCCCCCCCCCCCCGCCCACCCCCCCCCCCCCCCCCCCCCCCCGCTCCACGGGCCCGGGTGTGAGTTTCTGGAGACTTACTGGGGCCCGGCTCTCCGCTGCTCCCCGCGGCGCGGCACAGCGCGGTCCTGCGCTCCCCGCCGTCGGGTCCCTGCGGGAGAACTTCGGGACCCAGCACGGCCTCGGCGGCGAGCGCGAAGCACTGTGGGCAGTACCGGGGGTGGGACTGACCCGAGCCTACCCTCCTCTTCCTTCGGCTCTTTCCCCATTGAAGATGCAAAGTTAGTGACAGCGAATCAAGTTCTGTTCGTTCTTTTTTTTTTTTTTCTTTTTTTTTTTAAGCCTGTGAAACTAATCTTTCTTCCTGTTGGCAGATGGTCCAGCCCTCGCTGCGAGAAGAAAGAACTTCCTCTCTCTCGGGAACTGGACTCGGACTCTGGGCCGGCGATCGGTCACTTTTCCAGCCAGGCCAGGCCTTTAGCTCCTGATGTCGTAAGGCTAGTATCCTAAGTATGGGTCGGCAAGCAGGGTGCTGTTGCGAGGAAAGAGAGGAGGAGTTGGGGGAAGGGGGAAGGTGAACGCTGCCTGGAATCCTTACCTCTCCTGCTCTTCCTCCCGGAGGAGGGAGCGGTGCCTGGAAGCTGCTGCCCAGTGAGGAAGTTGGACTGGTTAAGGCTGTATGAATAGGCTACAGCAGGGTTTCTCAGGTTTGGCACTGTTGACACTTTGGGATTAAAAAATTTTTTTTTTAATTTTTAAAGATTTTTATTTATTTACTGGAGAGAGAGCATGTGCAGAGGGAGGGGCAGCGACAGGGAGCTGCAGACTCCCCGCTGAGCAGGGAGCTCAAGATGTGGAGCGGATGTGGAGCTCGATCCCAGGACCCTGAGATCATGACCTGAGCGGAAGGCATATGCTTAACCCACTGAGCCACCCAGACGCCCCACTATCGACACTTGGGACTAGATAATTCTTAATTCTGAAAGACTGTCGTGTGCACTGTGCAGTGTTTAATAGCATTCCTGCTCTCCACCCACTAATAGCACTAGCGCCCCATCCAGTCCGGACGAAAAAATGCATCCAGGCATGGGGGGGGGGGGAGCGCAAAATTGTCCCCAGTTAAGAAGCAGTGGGTCCACACAAATGTGTGCTTATATAAAACAAGTAACTTTTTTTTTTAAAGTGTCTTCTAATTTACCACCTCTTCACATGTATTCTCATTTGGTCTTCATAAAGCTCAGCTGAAAAGCAGCTGAGATGTAGAAAGATTAATTTGATTTCAAGGGGCACATGGCTAGTGAGTGCCAAGCCAGGAATCCAATTCACATGTCCTGGTGATGAGGGAGCAGAAGGCTGGCTGAGGACAAAGCACAAGCTGACACCCTGAAACCACCACTCCTGGGTGGGATCTGCGTGGCATTCCTCCAGGAAACTTCCAACTATTTGTTTTTTTTTTAAAGATTTTATTTCTTTATTTAACAGAGAGGGAGAGTACAAGTAGGGAGAGCAGCAGGCAGAGGGGTTGGAAGAAGTAGGCTCTCCACTGAGCCCGGAGCCAGATGTGGGACTCGATCCCAGGACCCTAGGACCACGTCCCGAGCTGAAGTCAGCCATATAATGAACTGAGCCACCCAGGCGCCCCAACTTCCAACTATCTTAATGTCATTGCCTTGCCAGAGGGTAAAACAACCTTAACTTGACAATGGCAAGGCCTCCAGTGGCTTGTAGGTCCTCTTAATATGAAAGTTCTTTTTGAAAACCTCTTTTTTCCTTCCCTCCCCCGACTCCCAAGTATATAATCAGCCACCCCTCACAACCCTGGGAACAGCAGCTCTTTCTGCCCATGGGCCTGTCCCCCTGCTTTAATAAAACCACCATTTTGCACAAAAGGTGTCTCAACAATTCTTTCTTGGCTGTCAGCTCTGGACCCCACACTGATGTGGGAAACAAAGGCAGAAGAAAAAGGATTACATTTCCCTACTTCCTATAGCCCATTGACAAGTCTTTGAAACAGGCAGAGTGACATTCCCCTAGGGACTCAACTGCCTCGATGTTAATACTTTGCTAAGGGCAAAAGACAATCCTAGCCCCCCCCCCCCACCCAATCCTGTAAGTCTACTTTAACATATAAAAATTCCTTTAGCAATTTCCTTTCTCTCAGGGCACCTGAATGGCTCAGTCAGTTAAGCATCTGCCTTTGGCTCAGGTCATCATCCCAGGGTCTTGGAATGGAGCCCTGCATCGAGCTCCCTGCTCAGCAGAGAAACTGCTTCTCCCTCTCCCTCCACCTGCTGCTCCCCTACTTGTACTCTGTCAAATAAATATTCCAAATAAAATTTCCATTTTCTCTAAACCCCCCAAAATACGTGTTGGCAACTACGCCCCCCCCATGCATATGGCCCACTGATACACATCTGAAGGGCTTCATGACTAAGGTTTTATTAGACAGTAATAAATGACCTTTTCCCAACAATAGTTAGCCCCCTCAAGGTCGTGGAAACCTTGCTTCCAAATTCTTTAGAGACTTAATGCTATCCCTAACCCCCTCCCAAGTTGAAAGTATACAATAGGCCACTCCTCCTGACCTGGGGTCTTTTCTTTCTGCCCTTTCTGCCCATGGGTTCTGTCCCGGTGCTTTAATAAAACCACCGTTTTGGGGGCACCTGGGTGGCTCAGTGGGTTAAAGCCTCTGCCTTCGGCTCAGGTCATGATCCCAGCGTCCTGGGATCGAGCCCCGCGTCAGGTTCTCTGCTCAGCAGGGAGCTTGCTTCCCTACCTCTCTCTCTCTGCCTGCCTCTCTGCCTACTTGTGATCTCTTTCTTTCAAATAAAAAAACAAAACAAAACAAAAAAACAACCCACCGTTTTGCACCAAAGATGTCAAGAATTCTTTCTTGGCTGTCGGCTTTGAACCAGGTGCCCACAAGTTGCTTTTCTTAAAGCATATCTTGCTGTAATTCCCTGTCAAGATCCAAATTTTGGAATTGGCCGGTAATTTTTGCAGTGGCAGTTTTTCACAGTCCCCCACATCTCTGGCCTCTAATGAGGCTCCCCAAAGGTATTTATTTAGCAGAACAAACAAGATCCTCTGCATTAGGAATGGGGCGGAGGTACTGTTCTGAGGTGTAGTTGCTGCTGCTATAAGTTAAATGGGGCTGGAGGCCTAGAATAATCTCTTCCAGATGTCCAGCGGGGTCCTAGCCCCTTCAGAAGCTTTTGCACAGTGCTGCTGTGTCACCTTGAGGCAAAGCTTCTCTGGTGACCAAGCCAGCACTCTGGCAGCCCAGCAGCTCAGGGATGACTCGTGGTTCTGGAGGAGAGTAAGGGCTGGCACTTCTCCCTGGAGGAGCTGGGGCTGGGTTGTTCGTGGTAGCTTTCGTGCCTGCAGGGCTTTCTCTGGGTGATTTCTCCCCTCTCTCCATGGGCATTCCCCCCTGAGGTTGGTGGGGCAAATTCCAGGAGCAGGGACTTGGGAGAGCTCTGGGAGAGAGAAGGCTTGGAGCAGCCTGGCGGGGTCCTCTGCCCTATCTTGTGGGGACTGCTTCTTTGGCTACCTGCCCCTGCCACCCTCCTGGGCACCCATCCATGTGACTCAATGTCCAGGGCACTTCTTGCCCTGGGCAGTAGTCTTCACACTTTATTCTCAAATAGACAAAACTTTTTCAAAAACTAGGCCTGTGCCCTCTTAAATTTTAAAGTTGGTATCTAGGGGCGCCATGGGTGGCTCAGTCAGTTAGGTGTCTGCCTTCAGCTCAGGTCATGATCCTGGGGTCCTGGGATTAAGCCCTGCATCCTGCTCTCTGCTCAGTGGGGAGCCTGCTTCTCTCTCACTTTCCCTCTCCCTCTGTGCTCTCTCTCTCTCTCTCAAAAAATAAACAAAAAATCTTAAAAAAGAATAAAGTTGAGGGGCGCCTGGGTGGCTTAGGGACTTAAGCCTCTACCTTCAGCTCAGGTCATGATCTCAGGGTGCCCCCCACCCTGTCCCTGCATCGGGCTCTCTGCTCAGCAGGGAGCCTGCTTCCTGGTCTCTCTCTGCCTGCTGCTCTGCCTTTTTTTTTTTTTTAAAGGTTTTATTTATTCATTTGACATAGAGATATCGAGAGAGAGGGAGAGGGAGAGCGCGCGAGTGAGCATGAGCGCGCACATACAAGGAGGGGGAGTGGTGGCTGGCAGAGAGAGAGGGAGAAGCAGGCTCTCCACTGAGCAAGGAGCCCGATGTGGGGCTCTATTCCAGGACCCCAGGATCATGACCCACACTGAAGGCAGACACTTAACCAACTGAGCCATCCAGGCGCCCCCTCAGAGCAGTCTGATATTTATAATCATCCGGTAAAAAAGTGCAAAACAGTTCTTTAATAGTTGGAAGTTTTAAAATGTAATCTTTCTTCTAGTACTCCTATTTTCATTCTACTTTTCTCATAGAATTATATATTGCTATATTTTATACTTTATTGATCATTCTTATCTGGAACAAAAATGTGTACTGTAATTTAAAAAGTGATTTTCTGTGACCACGGGGCTCTAAGTGTTCAACTTCTTCTGGATTTATTATCATTACAATATTCTTAGTCCACAAGTGATCAAAACATTATTTTGAATTTTTATATTTTAAGTATTATTTGAAATATTAATAATTATTGAACATGGAAAGTAAAATTTTATTGGAAAGATAGCTCTTAATGACCATTGGTGGGGTTGAATTTTTCCAAGTAATTATGTCTGTGGTGAATATTCCTCATTGCTAGAATGAGACTGGGATCAACATTAATTCTCTTCCTATTTTTCATTTTTATAGACAAGCTCTGAGGAATGTAATTTGCATAAATTAGATGGGAAAGAGAGATTTCATTATAGGAATGTCAGCCAATTCTCTGAATACCTCTGAGTTATATGATTAAAAACTATATAATGATCTATCATTGAAAATTATTTTCAGTGATCTATGAGCTGGCAACTTAATTAGGTCTTTCTTCAATTTTGTTGAAAGCAAAGACGTGAAAACCACTCAACCTGTTAAGGATTTGTTATACAGCCATAAGTGTCATTCGGGGTCTTGGCATCGGGGGTCATACTAACAAAACTTTGTGAAGATTTATCAAATGATTATCAATTATAGCTGCTGTTTTTTCACTTAGAGACACTTGTTTAAATTGATATACTCACAAAGGATTCAGAAAGTAAAAATGTTAATTTCAATACAGTTTTGCTAAGACAATTTTTATTTTTTAATTTTTTTCCAACTACATTAATTTAATTTTTTCAGTGTTCCAAGATTCATTGTTTATGCACCACACCCAGTGCTCCGTGCAATATGTGCCTTCCTTGATATCCACCACCAGGCTCACTCATCCCTCTACCCCCTTCCCCTCCAAAACCCTCAGTTTGTTTCTCAGAGGCTAAGATAATTTTTAAAAATCAAGTCCTTCTACCTCATCATATACTTCAAATATATTTTCATTAACATCTGGGAGCTGCAGATTAATTATAAAAAACCTCTGTGATGTTCTTATTGGCAAAGCCAGTCCTCTTGTTAAATAACCAGCCAAATAAAATTACTTCCTATCAGAGAAGGTTTCTCATGTCTCAAGCCAAGTAATCATTGTTAATACATGTCCTATGACAATCATCTTGCTTCTGAATTTTAAGAAAATAGATAGGTAAGACATAGAACCTTCCTAAGACAAATGAAGAACAGATTTTCATTGTGTCTCACTAATGCTTTTTTTTACTTTATTCTCATGGATCTCTCCCTCACATATGATGTGATTTTTTTTTAAAGATTTTTTTTTAAGATTTTATTTATTTTATTTGACAGACAGAGATCACAAGTAGGCAGAGAGGCAGGCAGAGAGATAGAGGAAGAAGCAGTCTCGCCGCTGAGCAGAGAGCCCGATGTGGGGCTCGATCCCAGGACCCTGGGATCATGACCTGAGCTGAAGGCAGAGGCTTTAACCCACTGAGCCACCCAGGCGCCCCATGGTGTGATTTTTGACAACAGAGGATGGATTTTAAGACATTAAAAAATATTTAGAATTTTCCTTCCCCTCACACACTGCAGGTTTTGCAGTCCAGGCCAAGCATCACAGTAAGATTGGGGCTGGATGAGAGTACCCCTTTCTTTTCTATCCTGGGGGAAGGGAGCTTGGGGAGGGCAGGTGGGAAGCTAGAGCTGAGAGACTCCTCAGTCATGGCAAGTACATATGGAAATTGAGGATCTGGGAAAAAAATTAATCACTTAAACCCATTTGCACCTGTGTGCCCATTCTAAAGTGTTTGTGGATCACCAGGACACAAATCTCCCTCATTTGGAGATCCCCACTGTTTCAGAAGATCATCTAGTCCCTGGGAACCTCTCCAAGTACTCTGGCTACCACCAAAGGGTCACTTTCGTGGGTCTCTCTGAAGATCTGGACCTAGTTGGAACTTTGTGATGAGAATTTCAGAACGTAACTGGACAGATCTGCATAGAAGGTCTCTAGACAGTGAGACACTTGCCTTGAGGAGGTTTACAAAAAGGGCCCCAGGAGGATCCCAGCAGTGCAGTGGGCATGTGTCCAGGAAGAGCTGGTGAGCAGGCAAGAGGCTTCATGATTGCCTCTAGCACTTCAGACATTACCTAGAGTCAGACCTTCTGCTTTGCAGGCTCAAAACCCCAGCTTGACAGCATGTGGAGAGTTGAGTATATAATCCACATGATGTCAATGTGCTGATTTACAAGGAGAAACCATTGAGGAATATCTCAATGAGATATTCCATCAGTGAGGACTGATGCCAAAATCTATAGGCAGGTCTACATGGAGAGCCCCAGATAGCATGTGTTTGGAATTCAGAAAATTGTACTTTGCTGCTTGATCATGTCAAGAACTGCAAGAGGTCTAAGACTTGATGCCAGGGGTGTAAGCTGTTCTCTCCTCAGGAGTACCTGAGAGTGTACCAACCAGGTTGGTCTGGAGTTGCCGTTAGGGGAAAGGAAGATGCATCATGCCCAGAAATGATCAGGGTGGAATCCTGAATTTTCAAAATAGGTTCTATAGCTCCCTACCCTTATTGTCCTGGTCACCCAGTAAGTGACCAAGAGGAGATGAACCCTTTCTGGAGAAGGTCGCATTCATTAATCATAATAAGTTGTGAGGACTAGGAGGAAGTGAAGAAGATGGAGTAAAAAATCTTTTTGAGTTGATTCTTTAAAAATTCTTTTGAGTTGACTTTTGAAAGGCCTTCCCCATGTTCAACAAAATCAGATGCCTGTAGGTGGTGGGGAGCATGGAACGTCCGTTAAATACCTTGACTTGTGGCCCAAAGTGTGGCTTTTGTGTTGCTCTTCTCCCCAAGTCCTACAGGGGTGGTGTGGACCAGATGGATGTCACATATGTAGTGAGTGGCATTACAGCTCTGAGTTCAGGGAACTTACCTCTTTTATAGTAAGCAGTAAGAAACTTTGCTCTTTGTTCTGAAGGGAGGCATTACCTCCTTGTTCAAGGTTTCTTCCTGCAAAATCACCCCGAGAAAGGGCCTGGATGAAGAGTTGTTAGAGTCTTGCATTCTTGGCATACCCAGCAAGATGTGTGGGAGCACAAGACCCTCAGGGAGGAGTCTCTCAACAGATATGCCCTGGGCAGATAGCAGGTTTCTCATACTCATGTCAATGACCAACACTTAAACAAACCAAGTATAGCTTATCAAAGAATTCCAATTAAAAAAGAAGATCTCTTGAAATAAGAAAAATTGCTCCCTTAACTCATTCTTCCTCTTTAGTATCTTCTTCCTAGTGTTTTCAACCACAAAAGAAGGCATGATTTTTTTTCTTTAGGATCTATTTCTTAAAATAATGACAGCTGTCTTTCATAGTCCTCTGATGACTTAATTTCCTTTTCTTCTTAGATATTCTCCTGAAAAGGAAAAGAACATGGTTGTTACTTGTGAGCAACAAATTATCACCACAAAGTGTTTCATTATATTTATTCCACAGACATTGGAAGTGACTACCATGTGCTAGATTCTGGAGATACAAGAATGACTGAATAGTTAAGACTCACTCCCTGCTCTCAAACATACATATATCTCCTAGAATCTTTCATAATAAAACATTTTTAAATAGCCATAATTCTCTGTTTCTTAAATTTTCTGTAATTATCATGTAGAATTTTTTGACAGAAACACAATTATGAGAAAAACAAGTGAAGGAAACAGAAGTAACGAGACAAGTAACTGGCTCCTGAGTAGGTTTCAGCCTCAACCATCCCTCATGACAATCCAGCCACTTCCAAGATCAGCCCAGCCCTTCCGGAGCAGTGGGATTTTAGTAGCATGATTCCAGCTATCTCCTTCTAACCAGTACACTCTTTGGAGCCTTTTGTGGTCCTAACAGGAGTCTCAACCTTTACTGCCAGCCACAGAATCAACTTTACAGTGGTCAGATAACTTCCCTGGTCTCCAAAGGAGACCTGGGGAATTAGCCCTGGGCCCAGGCTGAAAGGACAGATTCTAGCCTCTTGACAGCCTAATTGCCCATTTTCCTAGCCTCATTTTCTGAATACCTTTAATTAGATAATTAGCCCCACTCTATAGGTCTCCATTTTGTCTTCCTGCTCCAGCCCTAGTCTGTTGAAACTGAACCTCCCTCAAACTTTGGACACTTGCTCAGAAAAGGTCCTTGGTATTGCAATTGCCTGTTTCTCCCAGGTTGGAGTTCACTCCTTCTATTAGATGCTTCCAAAGTTGTGTCCTGTCCTATTCACTCTTAGAATACCTTATTGCCAGCTATGTAGCATGGTTTATGACATTCCATGTCAGGAAACTGTTAACAACTGGGAAGGTCTCTGCATACATACATTTATGTGTGTATTTTTTTCAGTGATGGTACTTCTCAGTTAATTTTTTAAGATTCATTTCTTTGGAGACTTCCCTGATTCTGCTAGGCAGAGGTCACTCATTTATTTGTTCATCAAACATGTATTAATTACCTACTCAACAGTAGACACTCTTAGGTACCAGAGACAGGAGATTAAAACACAATTCTTATCTTCTAGGGGCTCACAGTCCAGGTAAACAAACAACTCTAGTGGCTCTAACAATAAAAAAGAACTCTAGTAATAAGCGTATGCATAAAATAGGTAGCATAGTGGAGAGAAGCTGAAGATTTCACTTGCATCTTCAATGATGTTAAGCATTTGACAACTAAGGGCCCCTGGGTGGCTCAGTCGGTCAAGCATTTGCTTTTGGCTGGGGTTGTGATCTCAGGGTCCTGGGACTGAGTCCTACATCTCACTCTCTGCTTAGCGAGGAGTCTGCTTTTCCCTCTACCCTTCCCCCCTGCTCATGATTTCTCTCTCTCACATAAATAAATAAATCTTTAGAAAAAAAATGTGACAACTGGATGTGAAAGGGCAGGGACAGAAAGGGACACTACAGATAGGACAACATGTATAGAGGTATGGAAGGTAGAGACTCTATCTGTTTACAGCTTTGACTTTCTTGCTTTATTAGGATAGTATAGGACCCATAAGAGATCATCACTGAATATTTGTTGAAAGAATGGCTGCTTTCCTCACTAGTAGAAGTGGGGGCTTCTACTATCTCAAAGGAGTGTTCAAGCAACTCTAGCAATTTTTTTTTTTTTTAGGAATTTAAGTTTACATTAAAAAATCTAAAACATACTATGCAGCCATCAAAAGAAATGAAATCTTGCCATTTGCGACGACGTGGATGGAACTAGAGGGTATTATGCTTAGCGAAATAAGTCAATCGGAGAAAGACAACTATCATATGATCCCCCTGATATGAGGTAGTGGAGATGCAACGTGGGGGGTTTGGGGGGTAGGAAAAAGAATAAATGAAACAAGATGGGATCGGGAGAGAGACAAACCAAAAGAGACTCTTAATGTCACAAAACAAACAGGGTGGCCGGGGGGAGGGGTGTAGGAAGAGGGTGGTGGGGTTATGGACATTGGGGAGGGTATGTGCTATGGTGAGTGCTGTGAAGTGTGTAAACCTGGCGATTCACAGACCTGTACCCCTGGGGCTAATAATACATTATATGTTTATTAAAAAAAAAATTAAAAAAAATCTAAAACATAATTTATTGTCATTAAACTCAACTTTCATAGATACAATTTTCCAGTTAGTCGTACATTAGATCTTCATTCAAAGACATAAAGACATGGAGGGGGAATGCAGTAGACCTCAACTAGGTAGCTGCAGGGCTCAGTAATTTCTTTTCCTGGAAAGGGCCCTTTACATAGAGTGACCCCCAGAGGCTAAATTTCTGGTTTTACTTTTTTTTTTTTTTTTTTAAACCCTGCTGCCTTACTCACCCTTAGCCCCCCAACAGCTAATAGATGGTGGGGGAGTGTGGAATGACTGATATAGGGGGAAACCATATGACCCAAGACTTGTCAAATCAGGGTCTTAAAAGAAATTAAGAGGCACGATGTGAGGCTTGGCCATGAGACCAGCCAGGAAAGAAGGCTTTGCTATGGGACGGAACAAAACTGACCCTCTTAGAAACAGAGACTAGAGAAGCATTCTAGCAGTATTCCTGTCCCTGGAGTCCATTTTCACTGTGGCTCAGTTCCACTCCATTGTTCCAGTGAATCTGTAAGTAACCCAGTATCCTTCCAATAAATCCCTCCCTTCTACCCTGCGTGGTTTGTATTGGCTCTCAGTGACTGGCAGTCAGATCTTTGTCAGAGGGAACAAAGACAGGCATGGGGAGACAAACTTACCCAGCTTCTCTGTGGCTTCCACACAGACACTAGGATACATGCCTTCAGTGTAAGTTGCCACCAGAAGATATAGATGGGTCTTCACAACAACCACACCCGTGTTTTCCTGGATAAGAGTAAAACAGAATGCCCTTCTTTCAGTTCTAGTCACAGGACTAGCAATTACATTCCAGTCACATTTTGTGCCATTTTTTTACTTCCATGCACTCATATCTGGTTTTGGACTCTTCACTTTTTTTCCCACTAATTTAGTTGTCTTTGCTCAAAAAATTTCAGACTTGTAATAACAGCATGTGTATTTTGAAAAAGTTCCACTGACTGGAATATACCCCATCCCAGTGAGAACAACTGATATAACAGGGGCGCCTGGGTGGCACGTCTGCCTTCAGCTCAGGTCATGATCCCAGAGTGCTGGGATCAAGCCCTGTGTCAGGCTCCCTGCTCAGTGGGAGTCCCCCGGGAGTCTGCTTTTCCTTCTCCCTGCTCACGCTCTCTGGCTATCTGTGTCTCTCTCTGTCAAATAAATAAATCTTTTTTTTTTTTTTTTTTTTTTAGATTTCATTTATTTATTTGACAGAGAGATAGGGAAAGAGCACAAGTAGGCAGAATGGCAGGCAAAGGGAGAGGGAGAAGCCCGCTCTCTGCCGATCAGGGAGCCCGACAGGGGCCTCAATCCCAGGACCCTGGAATCAAGACCCAAGCAGAAGGCAGACACTCAACCTACTGAGCCACCCAGGTGCCCCAATAAAATATTTTTTAAAAATGAGAAAGTAATAGATTTTGGAATTGGACATGTCTGGGCTTGAATCCCAGCACGTGCATTTCCTGCAGCATGACTAAAGAAGACTTACTTAACCTTGCGAATTCTCTGTTTACTTGTTCCAGTAAAACGAGGCTACTTTAGAATGCAGATGAAGTGTGCTTAACCCACAAGATAGGCCATCCAGTAAATGTGAATTTTATCTTCTTATTTCCCTATAGGCAATAGAGCTAGGAGAGGTTTTAAGCATAAGAATGTTTTTTTTCTTTCTTTCTTTCTTTCTTTTTCTTTCTTTCTTTCTTTCTTTTTTAAAAGGAGCATGTAGCGTATAGAGTAGTGAAAAGAGATACTTCAGGCAAGTTTCTGTTGATAGATTTTGGAATGAATGTTTCTCAAGTAGGCTCCCTGTTCCTACTTTATTTTACGCATGTCTACCTAAATACTAGACTGCTGTCTCAGACATTGTCACTGCAGTGATGGGGTTAGGTTGTTTTATAAATGGGATCAGGGGACACAGCAGATTGGAATCAAATTCTTTTCTCAAGGTTTTTTACCTAGCTGTCTTCAAATTGTGAACACTCACATTCTTAGCATAAAGTGAATAGTCATCAGCCCGGATACATTTGTAGTCCTTTTCCTTGAAATACAATCCTTCTCTTCTAGTTTGCAAAGGGTTCTTGGCGAATCCATTCACAAGTGTTCGAACGTCATGAGGCATTATCTGCAGAAGTTAAATAGAGTATGAGTGGGCAAACTATGGCAAGCTGGCCAAATTTGGCCCACTGTCTGTTTTTGTAGGCCTGCAAACTAAGAATAGTTTTTACCTTTTTAAGTCATTGGAAAAAAGCAATAGAATAATATTTTGTGATATGTAAAAGTTGCATGAAATTCAAATGTCACTGTTCATAAATAAAGATTTGTTGGAACATGGTCACACCCATTCTTTTATGTATGCCTGTTTTCCCACTCAAACTGCATAGTGGTTGTGTAGTTGTGACTCAGGCCACATGGCCCAGAAATCTAAAATGTTTACTATGGCTCTTTACAGAAAAACTTTTGATAAAATGCTTATGCCTGGGGTGCCTGGGTGGCTCAGTTGGTTAATTAAGCGTCTGCGTTTCGGCTCAGGTCATGATCCCAGGGTCCTGGGTTGGAGCCTGCTTCTCCCTCTCCCACTTCCCCTTGCTTGTGTTCCCTCCCTGTGTCTCTTTCTGTCAAATAAATAAATAAATAAATAAACAAATAAGTAAATATATATATATATATATATATATATCCTTAAAAAAAAAAAAAGCTTATGCCCAAACTTGCTTTTCCTTACACTAAATCCTGGTGATGCTACACACAAGCTTCGTTCTTGGAGCTTGATGAGCGCTGCACTGTCAACATGCTTTGTTCCCAGAAGGGTATCCAACAGTAAGTTCTGCAGATGGCTCATGCTCCCTCCGCTCTGAAAAGGGGAACTACAGTTGAAACGACTCACTGGCTAGCTTTGGAAAGGCCTGCGAATACAAGTCTCCTTAGACACTTTGGACAGTTTTCAGCGCGTGCACTTTGGAAGTGGTGAAAATGGTGGTCCATCATGTAATAGCCACCAATATTCAAAGAGGAAAATAGAATCCTAGAAAATCGCAATTCATACAGCAGGTTATTGAGTTTGGAAAAATCACTGCTCACAATTTTCTAGTTATACCAACGGTTTGCTCCAGAGTTACCCGAGATTATAAACCCAAACCCAAACACCTGTGGGATCTAAGTTAACAAGGGTCAGTGAGATCAGCGGGTCCTTACCCCTGACCAGCATCCCCGCGAACTATGGGCACTGAACCAGAGGATTTAACGCGTTTAAAGCGGCCTTTTCCGCATTTGGGCCTTCTTCATAAGGACAACCTCCACAAATACTAGTCCTTACGGGATACTTAAGCCTTAAGTGCCCTTTCCGGCCACTCCCTGCGCAGTGGTTTAGGCCACGGGGCCGAAGGTGGGGGTGGGGGGGGGGTCCCTGAAGAAGGACTGGAGGCGAGGGAGGGGGTGTTTAACGTCCAGTTGTGTTGGCTGGGAAGACGCACAGAGTGCTTAGGGGACGGCGATGGTCCAAGCGTGAGCAGAACGCAAAACGGCTCTCGGAAAGGAGCGGAGCGGCGGCCCGTCAACGGGCGCGGGGGAAGGCGGGACGGAAAGGCGACGTGCCTAGCTATTGGCTGCAATATCTGCCCGTCACCGAGAAGCGCTTCGGTGTGGTTCGCTACCTCCGACCCGCCCACCAGCGCCCCAACCCGGGTACCCAGTTATTTCTCCGCGGGGCTGGGCTCGGGAGCGCAGTTGCTCTGTGCTCGGGGTCACAGTGGTGGCTGGTGGGGTTCTAGCTTGTCGTCTGTGGCGGCGCAGGGGTTGCGGGGGGCTACGTCAAGTAAACACTGGACTCGAACGTTCTGTCATTCCGAGGCGACGGGCCCAAGCTGACGGGCCCGCAGGCCCTGGGGGCGCATTCTCCTGTCGCAGTCGACCACTGCGGGGCCGTGGGCCTTGGGGCAGGACCCCTCGCGTGCTTGGGAAGGGAGCTGAGGTACCTGGGTGGTCTGCAGCTTTCCTGCCAGGCCGGGCGGAGCAGGCACTAATCTTGTTGACGGGATGGGAGGAAAGGGACGGGGTGGTGGGTCCTGTAGGTCTACAACGGGCGCAAGCCCTAATGACATCCCCCTCAGGTGACGATCGGCGGGCGGGGGGTGGTGGTGGTGGTGGTGTGTGTGTGTGGGGGGGTGCTTTGGGCGTCCTAGAACTTGAGGACACAAATTTTTGTGAAAGCCCCTCCCTCTCTACTAAGCCCCTCGCGTGGGCCTCAGTAGCCAGAAAGTTGCAACTCCCTGGGTTCGCGGTCCTGAGTCAGGAAAACTGCAGTGCGACCCCTAGAGGCCTGTCTGGTAATTGCCACGCCGGCTGGAACGGGCTGTGTGGTAGAAGGACTTGGAAAGAGCCTGGAATTCCGGGGTTGCTGGCGTCAGTCCAGTGAGAACCTCCCCTGCTTAAAAGACGGTGGTTCTGAAGACCTAATAAAAAACGATGGTGAAGGCCTCTTACTAGGGAAAGTGTGGGTGGCTACTAATTCAGAATCTGTTCCACACCCTTCGTGGTCGCGAGGATTGTTAATTAAGCAAAAGAGAAAGCAGGACTGTGAATTCTCATTACTAAATAAGCTCAATTTTTTTAGTTTCCCTAGGGGCTCTATTTTTTGTGACCACAATGAGAAATTTAGACAGTGATGATCAGTTAACTGACAAGCTTCACAAGCCCAAGAGATCGAAAGAATGGTTTGAACCACAGCCACTTTCTTTTATGGAGGTAACGGTAGTATGGCATTTTGAAGTTTGTATTTGGGTAGTTGTACTGAGATGTGGCTTGTGCTTAATATTTTTTCCTATGTTTTATATTTAATTTCTGCTCTTTATTATTCCATTCGTTCTACTAACTTTTGTTTGCTATTCATTTACTTGCTTTTTAAGGTGGAATCATAGGCAAATGATTACGTTTTCCATATAGCAGTTATAAAATTTGTCCTGAAGCACTTTTAACACTTTGCGTTTTTAAAAACTATTGTAATTTTTTTCTAAACCACTTCATTAAGTTATAACTGATATGCAGTAAGCTGCATATATTTGAAGTGTACAGTTTGATAAATTTTGATGTGTTCCCACATGTGAAACTATCACCACAATCAAGAGAATGAACATATTCAGTGTTCCCGAAGTTTCCTTCTACTGTGTCCCTTTTGTTATCCTTCCCTCCGTGCCAACCCTCAAGGCAACCACTGATTTGCTTTCTGTCACTACATTTGTTTAGCATTTATAAAAATTTTATACAGATGTAATCTTAAACAGCATGTATTCCCTTTATCTGGTTTCTTTCACGCACCATAATTATTTTGCAATTCATTCATGTTGTGGCATGTATCAGTACTTCATTCCCTTTTTTTTTATTTTTTGGTTGAGTGCTGTGTATCCTAGTTTGTCCATCCTGCTGATGGAAATTTGGGTCATTTGCATTTTTTGGCTATTACAAATAAAGCTGTTAGGAATACTCATGTACATGAATTTACATGGACATATGCTTTCGTTTCTCCTGGGTATCTAGTTGTGGGATGACTGGGTCATGTAATAAGTGAATTTAACTTTTTAAAAAAATATTTTATTTATTTATTCGACCCAGAGAGAGAGATGGTAAGAGAGGGAATATAAGCAGGGGTAGTGGAAGATGGAGAAGGAGGATTCCCACTGAGCAGGGAGCTGGATATGGGGCTCAATCCCAGGACCCTGGAATCACGATGTGAGCTGAAGGCAGACATCTAATAGACTGAGCCACCCAGGTGCCCCAAATTTAACTTTTTTATGAAACTGCCAGACTGTTTTCCAAAGGAGTTTGCCTTGTACATACATAGTTCAAGAATCTGCCAGGGATTTGGTTAGTTAATTTGTAAAATTGGTGGCATCTCCTCTACAGCTTTCTTGTTTCAGGTATTTCACCTTTGACTTTCCAGCTCCTATGATTGCTCTGAACTCTGTCTTCTAATTCTTTTTTTTTTTCTTCTTCTTTTTTAAAGTCTATCTTTTTTTAGTAATCTCTGCACTCAACATGGGGCTCAAATTCACAACCCTGAGATCAAGAGTTGCATGCTCCTCTGACTGACCAGCCAGGTCCCCCTGTCTTCTAATTCTTGAATTCTGTAAAACTTCTTGTTTCTGAGTTTGAGATCTCACCTTTAGCTCTGATGGAGGCCTGCTCTTAGACAAAAGTCCATAAAAACTTAAAACTTCTACCAATGTTACGGTCTTTTTCTGAGAGTTGATTACATTCTTGTTTCTCTCTGCTTTTGGTCAGTCTCCAGCATCTTCAGATTGTTTTTTATATTTTTGTCTAGAATATTAATTCAGTACCCATATTGGTTTTGAGAACAACAGATTTGCCAGGAATAGCAACTCTATGAGACAGAAAGAGCAAAGAAAATGAATCTGGGGTGTTTTTTTTTTAATTAAAAAGATTTTTTTTTAATTTTAATTTTTTTAAAAACAATTTGATTCATTTGAGAGAGAGAGAGACAGACAGACAGACAGAGCACAAACCAGGGGAGAGACAGAGGAAGAGGGAGAAGCAGACTCCCTGCCCAGCCTGGAGCCCAAAGTGGGGCTTAATCCCAGGACCTGCAGATCACAGCCCAAGACCAAGGCAGACACCCAACCACCTGAGCCACCCAGGCACCCCTTTTATGAATTTTTAAAAATCATTAAAAAATTTTTTTTTTTACTTTAAAGATTCCATTCATTCACTTGACAGAGAGAGAGACAGCAAGAGAGGGAACACAAGCAGAGGGAGAGGGAGAAGCAGGCTTCCCACCAAGCAGGGAGCCTGATGTGGAGCTCGATCCCAGAACCCTGGGATCATGACCTGAGCCAAAGGCAGACACTTAATGACTGAGCCACCCAGGCACCCCTAAATCATTTTTTAAAAAGATTTTATCCATTTATTTGACAGCAAGAGAGAGCAAGCACTGGTAGAGGGAATGGCAGGCAGAAAGAGAGGGAGAAGCAGATGTGGGGAGCCTGATGTGAGGACTCTATTTCATAACCCCCGGGACCATGACCTGAGCCAAAGGCAGTCACTCAACCAACTGAGCCACCCACGCACCCCTTTACTTGAGTTTAAATTCTGACTCAGTGCAGGATTTTCTGGGCTTCTAGTTCTTGGCTAACTCCCATGACTCTTAATTTCCTGGGTGTTAACCATCCTTGGGAAGGTTAGTTCTTGGGTTTTGAGATTTTACTCATCTGTTCTGAAAACAAGAGTAGTGGAATTGAAGACTGCTACTTCCAATGATTGATAATTTGAGAATTTTTTGTTTTTGTATAATTGTCAGAAGATTTCAAAGGCCCATCCCAAATGTCTCTCACTCTAGGAAATTAAAAAAAATTAATCATATTTACATTGTGGTAAAAGATATATAGCATCAAAGTTTGCTATTGTGACCATTTTTTAAAAAAGATTTTATTTATTTATTTGACAGAGATCACAAGTAGGCAGAGAGGCAGGCAGAGAGAGAGGGAGAAGCAGGCTCCCTGCTGAGCAGAGAGCCTGATGCGGGGCTCGATTCCAGGACCCTGGGATCATGACCTGAGCCGAAGGCAGAGGCTTAACCCACTGAGCCACCCAGGCGCCCCTATTTTTGACCATTTTTAAATGTACAATTTCAGTGACATGTTTACAGCCTCTTGTATTTTCTGGTGGGTGTTCATGGAAGATTTGTTATGCAAGTGGAAAAAATTAATGTTATGAACTATTTCGTGAAGACTGTTGCTTTAAAATCTGAAAATGTGGAATGCCTGGGTGGCTCAGTTGGTTAAGTGTCTGACTCTTGATTTTAGGTCGTGATCACAGGATTGTGAGATAGAGCTCTGCTTTGGACTTTATGCTCTGCAAGGATTCTGCTTGGGATTTGCTAAACCGCCCCACCCCCAACATGCTTATGTGCACTCTCTCACAAATAAATAAATCTTCAAAAAAACCCTGAAAATACAACTTGTATATAAATAAATCTATTAATATTTGAAGCTGTAATGACTAAATAAAGTAGAATTCAGTAATGACTGAATGAATTCAAATAGAGGCCTAATTCTATTTTAACTTTTTTTTTTTTCAAACATTTTATTTATTTATTTGACAGACAGAGATCACAAGTCAGCAGAGAGGCAGGCAGAGAGAGAGAGAAGGAAGCAGGCTCCCCGCTGAGCAGAGAGCCCGATGCGGGGCTCCATCCCAGGACCCTGGGATCATGACCTGAGCCAAAGGCAGTGGCTTTAACCCACTGAGCCACCCAGGCGCCCCTCTATTTTAATTTATAAAGGTAAAAGCATTTTATGAAATGTGAAAAAAAGATGGGTTCTACTTATCATGCAACTCTGGGCAAGTCATTTTGACCATGCTGGAACTCAAAATGTCTGTAATCTGAGTTATTTTTTGCCCCTGAATGAGCTAAAGCAAATAACGGAAAGATTCAAACACCCTTTAAGAAGTACCTGATGAAGGCTCCTGGCTTGGTAGGGAGTCTGCTTCTCCCTCTGACCCTCGCCCCTCTCGTGCTTTCTGTCTCTCACACATAAATAAATAAAAAGTCTTACAGGAAAAAAAAAGTACTTGATGATCTGATTTGAAGTAGAAAAATTGTATTTACAGGGAACTTTCCAGGGATATGTCTGTCACATAAAAGTAAGTCCAGATAGTATTAATAATATGATTTAAATTTTTTTTTTTTTTTTAGAATGGGGTGGGGAGGGGCAGAGGAAGATGAAGAAAAAAACTGAACGTGACTCCACACAGAGTGCAGAGCCTGACATGGAGCTCAGTCTCAGGACTCTGAGATCATGACCTGAGCCAAAACTGAGTCGGATGCTTAACTGACTGCGCCACCCAGGTACCCCAATAATTTTATTTTTAAGATTGGATTTTCAAAATTTCATTTTGTCATTTTAGGCATTAGCTAAAGAAGATACTGATGCAGCTATTCAATCAATATTATATAGAGAAAATTATGTGATTAAGGTAAGAATTGGCTACGGAATGTGTCACAATTAAAAATTAAATTTTGTTTATCCATTTTAGATGTAGTACATCATCATTATACAAATTTTAAAAAATAGAGAAAATAGAATTGAAAACACTCCTTAGCCCCTAGGATTAACCTTAAGCGATCTCTGAGATTGTTTTAATCGACTTCTCTTTTTATACTTTGTGGGGATTCTGTAAGAGTTTTCCCCAGCTTGTGCTTTCATCTAGTGGGACTTCTGTGGAGTCAGTGTGTATTAAGAGCTTTAAGAGCTGTTACTGGAACGCACTGACCAATAATTACTCAGGGATGCATAGGTAGGAAGGAGGCTTTAACTGTAAGAGGATGGGCTTAATTATAAGACAAGATGAACGTGCATGTAGAGTAAACACTGGAGTGGGTAACCTGTAAAGAAAAATTTTCTTTGGAATTGTTTAAAAAGGAAAGGAGCTATTCATTAAGAATGATTGAAAACTGCTATGACCTGAAGCTGGGGGGCGGGTAGAGCCTAGAGAAGCTCTTAGGGTTCCTGGTTGGTTGGTTGGTTGGTTGGTTGGTTGATTTTGAATTTCATGTTGTTGATTGTAGCAATCACATGATTTCATTTCCTAGGGGAGAGGTAGATACGTTTTGGATACGAAGTTTTAGTTTATAGCCTAAATCAGTCATTTTCTCTGCGGGCTGCTTGCCGTTTCGGCCAGGTTGTGCTGTGCTCCTGCTTCTTCACTCTTGTCTTTTTTTTTTTTTTCCTTCCATTGTATATGCCTCTTCCACATTCTCTCATCCCTCCTCTTCCTATACAACTCTTCATTCTTTAAGGCCCATCCCAAATGTCTCCCCCTCTAGGAATTAAAAAGAAAAATTTAGTCCTTTTTTCCCCATTGTGGTAAAATATATATAACATAACTTTGCTATCTTTAACCATTTCTTTTTAAAGGTACAGTTCAGTGACATTAATTACATTCACATGTTGTACAACCATTATCACTATTTCCAAATAGGTGGATGTCATGAAATCATCACCATTATCTATTTCTATTTCTAAAACTTTTTCATCATCCCAGCCAAAACTTCATACACATTAAGTAATGAATTCCCATCCCCTCTGCCCCAGAGGTCCCTCTAGTAACCTCTAATTTATTTTCTCTTTCTGAATTTGCTTATTCTAAATAATTTCAAATAAGTGGGATCCTACAATATTTGTCCTTGTGTGTCTGGCTTATTTCACTTAGCATATTGTCTTCAAGATTCATCCATTTTGAAGCATGTGTTAAAACTTCATTCCATCCTATGGCTGTCTAATAATCCATTTTGTGTATATACCACATTTTATTTATACATCCATCTGTAGATGGATTTTTTCCTTTTGGTTATTGTGAATAATGGTTCTATGAACATCGATGTGCAGGTATCTGAGTCTCTGTTTTTAGCATGTGTGTGTGTATATTTTGGTATATTGTCCCTCAATTGTTTTGTATATTTGTTTTGTAGTCTGTCTCTCTAGGGAGAGCAGGCATGTTGTCTAATCTGTCTGTGTATTATTCACTATTTCCATTATGGTATGTGTCACCCAGTAGAAGCCAAATAAATGATTGAATTAATGAATGACTTTGTGGGTTATTCTTAGGACTGTAATTGAGTTTAAAGTTTAGAACAACATAGCTTTAAGATAATTGTCTCTTCCATCACTGTTTATTAGGAACTAGATAAGTATTTACAACATCATGACTTCTTAAAGGCAAGGAGAAAAGAGATGTTACATAAAAGATGGGTTGACCATGTCGCACATCCTCTCCAGAAGAAAATTATAGAAAAAGTTGGTTCATATAAGAAGATTAAAAAAAGGAGACAAGATGAATTAGATGGTTTTTTAAAACATGTAAATAAAAAGGTACGAAGAGGTCATTTGATACTTGTTTCAGTTGGTTTAAAGCTATGATTATCTTTATAATCATCCAAACAGCCTGCCTCTTCTGACTCTATATTAATCTCTGTTATGGCGTATACTGTTCTTAAATCCAGGGTATGTGGAAAGGATGGAGGGAAGAGGGTTAGGTCTGGATTTAAATGTGTACATTAGAATCTGTATTTTTTGCTTTTTAAATGTAATTGTTAATTTTATATACCGATTAAATTTTGGCTCCAGGTTCAGGATATTTATATATAGTTCTAGAACTCCATTATTTACAAAACTGTAAAATATTTGTTTTGGCATTTCTAAGAGATCAAGATGTTTGACTAGGAAGCATTTAAAAGTAAATTTCCAAATCTGTTAGTGTTCCAACATTTGTTATTCTTGCAAATTTTAAGTGGATTCCTTCTGTCAGTATAATAGTTATTACTTGGTTACATTAAGTTTAATTTCAAATTTGGTCTTCCCTTCCCCTTTGTATTTGTCATTCATGCTGTTTTGAAGTAGAAGAATGCAACTGTGTGACTCTTGAGTTTTGTTAACATTCAAAATTAATCGTGCACCTCTTGTTATGTGTAGTTTTATTTCCTTTCTATAGGGAAATGTATTTATAGAACATTATGATCCCAAAGAATATGATCCTTTTTATATGAGCAAAGAGGACCTGAATTTTCTGAAGGTAGGATAGATTTCTTATTTTTGGTATTATGTGGTTGGTTATTCTGAGTAGCCCTAATATATAAGTAGTTATTTAGTGATTCCCTAAGAATGCAGTTACATCTTAAGAATAGTTTGCGAGGGGCGCCTGGGTGGCTCAATGGGTTAAGCCGCTGCCTTCGGCTCAGGTCATGATCTCAGGGTCCTGGGATCGAGCCCTGCATCGGGCTCTCTGCTTAGCAAGGAGCCTGCTTCCTCCTCTCTCTCTGCCTGCCTCTCTGCCTACTTGTGATCTCTGTCAAATAAATAAATAAAATCTTTAAAAAAAAAAAAAGAATAGTTTGCCATCTCCATATCTTAGAAAGGAATAAAAAAGCAAAGTCCAAAGTAAATTAAACCTCTGTAAAATTTGAAAATACTGTATAATAATTGGGTAATAGGTAATATTTTAAAATTTCATAGACTTTTAAAAATTTGTTAGAAATTTAATACCATTTTCATGATACATGAAAAAAAGGTTTTTTTTTGAGAGAGAGAGAATCTTTTTTTTTTTTTTAAAGATTTTATTTATTTATTTGACAGAGATCACAAGCAGGCAGAGAGAGAAGAGGAAGCAGGCTCCCTGCTGAGCAGAGAGCCCTATGCGGGGCTCGATCCCAGGACCCTAGGATCATGACCCGAGCCGAAGGCAGTGGCTTAACCCATTGAGCCACCCAGGCACCCCGAGAGAGAGAATCTTAATCAGGTTCCTTGCCCAGCATGGATGCAGGGTTCAATCTCTCAACCCTGAGATCATGACCTGAGTTGAAGTCAGGAGTTAGATGCTTAACCGATTGAGCCACCCAGGTGCCCCCCATCAAAATCTATTTTTAAATAAAGAATTAAAAAAACAGTCTAAGGGGCACTTGGGTGGCTCATTTGGTTAAGTGTCTGCCTTGGACTCAGGTCATGATCTCAGGGTCCTGCGATGGAGCCCTGTGTGGGACTCCCTTCTCAGTGGGGAGTCTGTGTCTCCCTCTGTCTCTGCCTCCTTCTCCCACTCATGTTCTGTCTCTCTCTCTCTCTTTCTTGTTCTCTCTCAAATAAATCAAACAAAATAAAATCTTAAAAAAAAACCCTCACGATTTCATTACACAGAATGAACTTATTAACATTTTTTGGTATATCCTTCTGGATAGCCAAGACTACTTTCTATATGTAGATTTATATACACATTTTTATTTTACAAATTGTTGTAACACACATTATGTTTTATAATCTGCATTTTTTTCCTCAATAGTTCTATGATTTGCTTCTTTCTTTGTCAATAAATGTAAATACATAATTTTAATCATCGCATAATATTCTGTTAATAACAGCTGGGGTGCCTGGGTGGCTCAGTCCGTTAGGCCTCTGACTCTTGATTTCTGCTCAGGTCATTCATGATCTCAGGGCATGAGATCGAGCCCTGAGTTGGGCTACGCAGTCAGTGGGGAGTCTGCTTGAGATTCTCTCTCTTCCCTCTCCCCACTCTCCCCATCTCAAATAATAAATCTTGGGGTGCCTGGGTGGCTCAGTGGGTTAAAGCCTCTGCCTTTGGCTCAGGTTGTGATCTCAGGGTCCTGGGATTGAGCCCCGCATCGGGCTCTCTGCTCAGTGGGGAGCCTTCTTCCCCCCCAACCCTCTGTTTGCCTCTCTGCCTACTTGTGATCTCTGTCTGTCAAATAAATAAATAAAAATCTTAAAAAAAATATTAACTTGCACTGAGGGCTTAACCAAATGTTAGGACTTTTTTTTTTTTTTTCATCTTCACTGCTGCCACGTGATGTAATTTGCAGATGAGGCAAGTGAGACACAAATTGGTTAAGTTACTTTTCCAGAGTCACACAGCTGTAAATAGCAAAGCGTAGATGTGTTTCTAGCTATATATGGTATCTTGCTATACCACCATTTTTTTAAACATATTCCCTACTGTGAACATTTAGATTATTTTTGACCTATTGCTGTTATAAATGATGTTATGATGAACTTACCTGTAACTATTTCATAAGGTTTTCCATAGGTAAATTGCTAGAAGTAGAATTGCTGAGTTAAAGGTTATGCATAATTTTGATTTATATTGCCAGATTGTTCTCCAGGATGGCTGTATAAATTTGTACCCCCACCAGAAAGTCCATCTTCCCACACTTTTGCTGATAATAGTGCATATTTTTTTTTAAAGATTTTATTTATTTATTTGACAGACAGAGATCACAAGTAGATGGAGAGGCAGGCAGAGAGAGAGAGAGGGAAGCAGACTCCCTGCTGAGCAGAGAGCCCGACGCGGGACTCGATCCCAGGACCCTGAGATCATGACCTGAGCCGAAGGCAGTGGCTTAACCCACTGAGCCACCCAGGCGCCCCGATAATAGTGCATATTATTAAACAAAATTAAAATCCTTGAGCCATAGACCTCATTTGAATCATAGACATTTTATTTTTATTTATTTATTTTTTTTAAAGATTTTATTTATTTATTTGACAGATAGAGATCACAAGTAGGCAGAGAGGCAGGCAGAGAGAGAGAGGAGGAGGCAGATTCCCTGCTGAGCAGAGAGCCCGATGTGGGGCTCGATCCCAGGACACTGGGACCATGACCTGAGCCGAAGGCAGAGGCTTTAACCCACTGAGCCACCCAGGTGCCCCTGAATCATAGACATTTTAAACTTCTGGCATTTGCAGACAAAGCAGGTTTTTGTTTTTTTTGTTTTGCTAAATTGGGTTGTGTGTATGTGTTATTGTCCCTTTTTTAATAGGTGAAAGTTAAACTGAAATTTTATAGCTAGAGCCTTAGATAAACTAGCTAGTAACATAACTAGTAAAGGGCAGAACTGGGATTTGAAATCCGATCTTTTTTTTTTTTTTTTAAGTATTTTATTTATTTGAGAGAGAGAGAGCGAGCATGCATGCTTACCCCAAAGGGAGGAGGGGTAGAGGGAGAGAGAGAAAATCTCAAGCAGACTCCCCAGTGAGTGTGGAGCCAGCTCTGGGCTGGATCTCATGACCCCAAGATCATGACCTGAGCGGAAATAACGAGAGGCTTAATGGACTGAGTCACCCTGGCGGCCCTGAAACCAGATCAAACCAATTGAAGTTCTTTTACCATGCTGCCTTTCTAAATGATGAGGTGATAGGTGACTTTTAAGTTTAGCTGAGCATTTGAAGTTATAGCAGCAGTTCTCAAAGAGGAATATAGACCTCTGAGAACCCTGAAAGCCTGTTAGGGGTCTATAAGGCCGAGTATTTTCATAATAGTGCTGAATATCATTTGCCTTTTTCATAATGTTGACATTTGCTCTGATGGGGCAAAATCAGTGGTGGGTAAAACTGCTGGTACCTTAGAACTTCTTATTAAATGGGTGTCACCAAATCAAACTCGTGGTCATTATCGTCTTCATTGCCATGCACTCACAGTAAAATCTAGTTTCACTTAAGAATGTCCTTGACCAAACATTAAAAATTACTAATTTTATTAAATCTTGCTCCTGAGTACACATCTTTTTAATATTCTGTGTGATGAAATGGAAAGTATGCAAAGAGCATTTCTGCTGTCTACTGAAATGCAGCACGATTGTATGACTTGTGAGCTCTACTGATTTAATTTTTATTTTTTAACGGTACACTGTTTTTACTTGAAAGAATGTCTTACAAACTGTGATTAAGTGTTGGGTGTTTGGCAGACATTTTAATAAAGTAAGTCTGTCACTTCAGGGAAAACAGCTGACAATATTTGTTGCTAATAGTAAAATACGGATTTTTAAGCAAAAATTTGAATTTTTGAGAAATATTCACCATCATGGGTGTGATGGCTTCCTAATGCCCTTAACACTTTTCTGATGAGAGTGGTAATGATTTTAATGAATGTGATTATAGTGTAATGAAATGTATTAACATTTGGAAAATCTCACATACTTCAGTGATATAATTTTTTCCAAATAGTCAACCCATGACATAGACAAAAGATCCATTCAAAGTTCAAGCTAGGCCAATGGATTTTAGTGTAGTTGAGTTTGAATAATTTATTGATACAGTTTCAGATTGGACATCGTAACCTTTAAGAAACTACCACTTACTGCATTTGGGTAGACTGTCTAAGAAGAATATTTGATCTGAATCAGATCAATTCATATTAGAATGATCTGAAAAAGCTATTAAAATTAGAGTTAACTATGGGGCGCCTGGGTGGCTCAGTGGGTTAAGCCTCTGCCTTCGGCTCAGGTCATGATCTCAGGGTCCTGGGATCAAGTCCTGAATCGGGCTCTCCGCTCAGCTCTCTCTCTCTGCCTGCCTCTCTGCCCACTTCTGATCTCTCTCTGCCAAATAAATTAAAAATTAAAAAAAAAATTTAGAGTTAACTATGATGGAGGGCCCTCATTTCATTGTAATGTGTTAAATATATATAATGGTTACTCTGAAATATGTAGAGACTATTCTTTTTTTAAAAATTTTATTTATTTATTTGACAGAGAGAGACATAGCGAGAGAGGGAACACAAGCAAGGGGAGTGTGAGAGGGAGAAGTAGGCTTCCTGCTGAGCAGGGAGCCCGATGTAGGGCTCAATCCCAGGACCCTGGGACCATGACCTGAGCTGAAGGCAGACGCTTAACAGCTGAGCCACTGAGCACCCCAAGACTATATTCTTGATTCATCTGGCCTAAGAGCCATACACAGATGCTTAGTTTAGACTGAAAAAGACCTGCAATCCTGTCCTCAAAAGACATGTTTTTCTTGTAGGTTACCATTCCACCATTTCATGATCCTTTGAAAAAGGCACAATATGACAAAGATGATGAAAAAAGAACTCTTCTTCAGTGTGAGACTGGTACTTAGTGTCTAATTGTTATGTGACTTTATAACCAAGAACAATGGGAGTTGCATTTAATTGTGCTAATTTAGGTTACTAATCTTCCTGCAGGCAAAATATATACAATGAAAGAATTTAAAGAGATTGAAAAGGCCAAACTGCATTCCAGATTCCCAAGAATTTCTAATTCAAGGCACTTTATGACTCCAAATGAGTGGCTTAAGCTGCCTACAACTTACATAGAAAGTGAATTTTGTAAAAGGAGCAGGTAATGGTTAATATAATAGAAATTATAGAACCTTTGGAATTTGAAACTGTTCTTGAGACAGTGGTAAAAATTTTGTCATAATTCTGATTTTTAAAAAATTTCATTTTTCAATGAGAAATCTGTAATTCTTTATTCCTATTTTTGATGTTTCGTTTTTTCTTGGGCACTTTCGAAGATTTTCTCCTTGCTTTTCAATAGCTAGATTGTGATGTGTCTGAGTGTGTGTGTGTGTGCGTATGTGTCCCCTTTCTTTCTGTTTATCCTGCTTAGGGTTCTCAGAGATTCTTGTATCTGTTGTTTGACAACTTTCTTTTTTTTTTTTTTTGGAAAATAGGCCATTATCACTTCAATTATTATTATTATTATTTTAAGATTTTATTTATTCATTTGACAGAGAGATCACAAGTAGGTAGAGAGGCAGGGGGAAGCAGGCCCCCTCCTGAGCGGAGAGCCCGATGCGGGGCTTGATCCCAGGACCCTGAGATCATGACCTGAGCCGAAGGCAGAGGCCTAACGCACTGAGCCACCCAGGCACCCCTCGCTTCAATTATTTCTTATGCCCCATTCTTTGTTTTTCTTTTCTCTCTGAGACTCCAATTATTATTATTATTATTATTATTATTATCATTATTATTTTAAAGATTTTATTTATTTGACAGAGAGAGCGAGCACAAGTAGGGAGAGCAGTAGGCAAAGGGAGAGGCAGAAGCAGATTCCCTGCTGAGCAGGAAGCCCGATGGGGGGCTTGATCCCAGCCAGGTGCCCCTATTATTATGTTTTTTTTAAGATTTTTAAAAAAAATTTTTAAAGATTTTTGTTTATTTATTTGACAGAGAGAGAGAGACCACAAGCAGGCAGAGCAGCAGGCAGAGAGAGAGGGAAGCAGGCTCCCCACTGAGCAGAGAGCCCAATTCGGGGCTCGATCCCAGGAACCTGAGAACATGACCTGAGCTGAAGGCAGAGGCTTAACCCACTGAGCCTCCCAGGTGCCCCTTAAAAAGACTTTTACTTGAGAGAGAGCACACAAGAGAAAGAGCACTGGTAGGGGGGTGGGGCAGAGGGAAAGGGAGAAGGAGGTTCCCTGCTGAGCAAGGAGCCCAATGTGGGACTCCATCTCAGGACCTTGGGATCATGACCAAGCCGAAGGCAGACACCTGACGAGTGAGCCTTGAAGGTGCCCCCGAGACTCCAATATATATATATGTTAGACTATTTGGTATTGTCTCATAGCTCTGTAGCTCTTATTTTGTTCTTTTCTGTTAAAAAAAATATTTTTTCTGCTTATATTTCAGTTGGACAGTTTCTACTAACCTATCTTTCGGTTCTCTGAGCCTTTCCTCAGCTGTGTTTCATCTCTCTTTTTTTAAAGATTTTATTTATTTTGAGAGAGAGAGAGAGAGAGCGCGCCAGAGACAGAGATAGTGACAGAGAGCATGAGATCAGAGAGGAGAGGGAGAAGCAGGTTCCTACTGAGCAGGGAGCCCAACACAGGGCTCCATCCCGGGACCCTGAGATCATGATCTGTGCTGATGGCACCATCCAGGTGCCCCTGTGTCCCATCTTTTGATCAGCCCATCAGTGGAATTCTTTGTCTCTGATGTGATTTTTATTTCTAGCATTTCCATTTGATTTTTTTCACATGGTTTTCATTTCTTTTGAAACTCTCCCATTTATTTTTTTTATTTTTTATTTTTTTAAAAGATTTTATTTATTTATTTGACAGACAGAGATCACAAGTAGGCAAAGAGGCAGGCAGAGAGAGAGGAGGAAGCAGGCTCCCCACTAAGCAGAGAACCCGATGCGGGGCTCGATCCCAGAACCCTGGGATCATGACCTGAGCCGAAGGCAGAGGCTTTAACCCACTGAGCCACCCAGGCACCTCCGAAACTCTCCCATTTATACAGGTTCACTTTTCCATTAGATTCTTTAACATATTAGTCATAGTTATTTTAAATTCTTTGATAGGTCCCATGCTAGGGTCATTTCTGAATGTGGTTCTACTGATTATTTTCACTCTTGACAATGGATTATTTTTTTGTCTTGCCCACCCCGCCACCCCGTGTCTTATAATTTTTTATTAAATGCTAGATATTTGAGGTTCTTTTGTCCGGCCTTTTTTCTTCCATGTCTTGTCATTTTTTATTGAATACCAGGAAATAGAGGTAGAACAATATAGACTGACTATGTCTAGAAACAGATATGCCTTTGCTTCTGTCAAGCATTAGTGTGGAGAATTGGGTTCATCTAGTCAGAAGTTCAGCTGGGTTTAGGTATTACTGTTGCTATTGTTACTTTTAGTGCACAGGAGGCTTCAAATGCCTTTAGTGTTGGGCTGCTCTTACCTTGTGCTTCGGGTAGGGGCTGGCTTGCCAGAAGGGTTTTCTCAAGCATTTCATCTCCCCTATCAGTTTTTGGCTATTTCTGTAAGCCTGCTTCACAGAGTTGTGTGGGGGAGGTGTGGGGTGAGTCTCTCCCATGTTTTTGCTTCATTCCCAGAAGTATACTGCTGTTGCCTATATTGCTAGGCTCATAGTGGGAGCAGAGGAATTTTTTTCTGTTTTCCTTATCCTGCCACAGTTTAAGGCATGCTGTATATCCTTGGGCCTCAGGAATAGCATGTTCTTAGAGTTCCTTTCCCTTCTCCTTGTGGCAGCCAAACTCTTGTGTGGTTGTTCTTGGGTGAGTTTCCTGCCCCTTTTCCAATAGTAGCAGATCTCTGCTTGGTATAGGTACAGGATTCTGGACCTAAAGTGGTTTCTTGTCTCTTTCTGTGGAACAGAGGATTTTTACTTCTATCCTTATCCTAGTAGCACTGGATCCTTGCCTTGGTCTTAGGTGTACCCCTCTTACTTCTCCATAGGCAAACAGGTTTTGCCTGTACTTCTCTTCCAGAAGCAGCGTATCTTGGCTTATTGTTCTGGGCGGGGGAGGGTTGGGGGGTAGAATTTACTTCCCTCTTCCCAGCAGCTTTAGGCTTTTGCTTTGCAGTAGGAAAGAATCCAGGGAAATGGGTGGTTTCCCTGGATTTTTACCTGAAGCTCTTGGTCTCTTCCTGAGCATCCTTGTCACATCCTTTCTGTGGTCTTCTGCTCTATGACCGGTCTTTTCTGAGGAAAACACTGTTTCGAAGACTATCAAATGCCACTTTAACCCTTCCTCTATCAAATATTCCCAGTTGGGGCACCTGGCTGGCTCAGTTGGTAGAGCATGTGGCTCTTGATCTCAAATTTGTCAGTTTGAGCCCCACGTTGGGTGTAGAGATTGCTTACATAAATCTAAAAAAAATAATCTTGAAGTAAAATATGTCTAATCCACCTCCTTATACTAGTCAGTATGGTCCAGTCTCTCTTTTGTCCCATCACTTGACACACATGTACTTTTCACTTATCATAAAGTTTGCAACTGTCTAGTTGTGTGTGAAATGACTAAGTGGATGACTTAGTCATTGGGTGAGTCTGTGAAACTACTTTGGAGCGATTTTGTGGAAAGCCTTTAATGCCAGCTTAAAAATTGGGATTTTATCATGAATGGGGAGTCATTGAGGATAGTTGAGGAGAGCATGAAATGCTGGAAACTTCATTCTGGCATATGCTGTATATGACAGATTAGAGATAAGATTGGACTGGAAGCTGGAGAACATTGAAGTTTTATAAGGATCTATGTTGTTTTGATAAAGGTCTCAGGATGGTGGCAAAAGCAATGAAATGAAGAGACTGATGTGGTAAAACAAAGGAATTTTAGATTTTGGTGGCCAGATTTGGAGGGCCAGGGAAAAGAGAGGAAATCAGTTTTTTTTTTTAAGATATTATTTATTCATTTGACAGAGAGAGAGAGGACAAGTAGGGGAAGCAGCAGGCAGAGAGAGAGGGAGAAGCAGGCTCCCCATGACATGGGACTCAATCGCAGGACCCTGAGATCATGACCTGAGCTGAAGGCAGCCACTTAATGACTGAGCCACCCAGGCGCCACGAGAGGAAGTCAGTTTTGAGAAATATTATCTTACATATTAGTTTCCTAAGGCAGTTGTAATAAAGTACCACAAACTGGGTATTTTCTTCAGTTCCGGGGGTGGGAAGTATAAAATCAAGAAGTCAGCAGTGCCATTCCCTCTATGAAGACTCTAGGGGAGGCTCCTTCCTTGCCTCTTTCCTAGTTACTGGTGGCCGCTGGCAATCATTTTAGTTGGTCTGCAGTCTTTTTTTTTTTTCTTTTCTTTAAGATTTTATATGTTTATTTGACAGAGAGAGAGAGAGAGAGAGAGAAGCAGGCTTCCCACTGAGCTGGGAGCCCAGTGCGGGGCTCGATCCCAGAACCCTGGGATCGTGACCCGAGCTGAAGGTAGACGCTTAATGACTGAGCCACCCAGGTTCCCCTTTATTCTTGTTCTTTAAAGATAATTTGCTGAGTACAAAATTCTAGGTTGGCATTTATTTTCTCTTAATGCTTTAAACATATGCTGCTTGTTTTTGTTTCTGTTGTTTATGAGAGGTCTGCTGTTACTCTGATTTTCATCCTTTCTCCATGGCTGCTTATAAAATCTTTGTCTTTAAGGTTCTTTTTAAAAATTTTATTTTTATTTTCTTAAAGATTTTGTTAGAGTGAGCGAGAGAGAGAGAGCATGAGCAGGGGGAGGGGCAGAGGAAGAAGCAGGCTTCCCACTGAGCAGGGAGCCCAACACGGAGCTCGATCCCAGGACCAGGATCATGACCAGAGCCAAAGGCAGACCCTTAACTGACTGAACCATCCAGGTGCCCCAGTCTTAGTATTCTGCACTCTTACTAGAGGTTTCTAGGTATAGATTTCTTTTTATTTAGTCTGTTAGTATATATTGTGCTTCCTGGATCTCTGTGTTCATTTTTCATCAGTCTTGAAAATTCACAGCAATGATCTCTTGATTGCTTTTTCTTTATTTGTTCCATTCTGCTTCTGGGCTCAAATTAGACATATATTAGACCTTATATCTTTTTATTTTTATTTTTTAGAGGGAGAGTGGGGGAGAGACAAATGGAGAGGAAGAGAAAAAAAAATTTTTTTTAAGATTTATTTATTCTAGAGAGAGAGTACAGGAGCAGGGAGAGGGGCAGAGGGTGAAAGAGAGGGGAAGCAGATAAAGGGCTGGGTCTCAAGGCCCCTAGATCATGACTTGAGCTGAAACCAAGAGTCAGATCCTTAACCAACTGAACCACTCAGGGGTGTCAGTTTCAGTAGCTCTTAAATACTCAAGAATGTATACTAGTTTGAAATAATGGTCTTTTGGACAACGTACATAGTGGTCAATATATAACAATAATTTCTGTATAAATATAAGATAGTTTTGTTTTCAAAAACATCCTCACACCATGTTATTTTGTTAAAGGTTAAAAGTGAAAATGAATTTTAACGATTGTAGTTTTGATATGAAACCCTTGACAAGAGTTCCTCATTCTGTGGAGGCTCAGCAAGAAGAAAAAGCAGTTATTTCCAAGTAAGTCTGTTTTTCCATAGCTTTGCTTTTTTCAAAGATATTTGGCTGTGTTTCCATCCCCTGCCATCCTTTTAAGTTGCTGGAATGGTGCTGAGGCATACACCATGCTCCTGTGGCACGACCTTGGGCACCTCCTGCCTCTGTGTTGGGATGAGGTGGTGACTTGCTTCAACTCTGGTTTTATTTTATTTTATTTTTTTTAAAGATTTTAAAAATTTATTTATTTGACAGAGATCACAAGTAGGCAGAGAGGCAGACAGAGAGAGAGGAGGAATTAGGCTCCCCACTGAGCAGAGAGTCCGAGCAGGGCTCCATCCCAGGACCCTGAGATCATGACCTGAGCCGAAGGCAGAGGCTTTAACCTACCGAGCCACCCAGGCGCTCCTTAACTCTGGTTTTAAAGAACAAATTGCTAACACATTCAGAAATAACAAGCAGGGACAGAAGATAGACTGTTAACAACTCAAAGTTTAGGAGATTTTTTTTAATTGGAATTGGAGCAGAAAAATGGAATTTTGGACTAGTTTTGGTGGATAGTAGGTACACTGAGAACGAAGCGATATTACGAGGAGAGTGGTAGTATGTACTACGTGTGACAGAGGGATCCTCTCAATTGCCTACTTATGGAATTCAAGAAGAGATTTCTCTGTATAGTTACATAATCTGTTTAACTAGCTGATTAAAACTAATGAGATCCCGCAGCGGCTATTGCAGGGAATGTAAAGTGGTGCAGCAACTATGGAAAAGGGTTGGGCAGTTTCTCAAAATGTGAAACATTAAATGACCCTGTGACCCAGCGATTCAACTCCTACCCAGGAGAAGTGGAAACATACGTCCGCATGAGTGATCATGGCAGTATTAGTCACAATAGCCAAAAAGTGGAAACAACCCAGATACTCATCAGCTGGTGAGTGGGTAAAAAAAATGTGCCATATCTATACCTGGAGTATTATTTGGTGATTAAAAGGAAGAGAAGTACTGATACATGTTATGAAATGGTTGAAGCTCAAAACTATTCTCTGGGAGAGGACAGCCACAAAAGACCACATACTGTATAATTCTATGTCCAGGAAGAGAAATCTATAGAGACAGGAAGTAGACTGTTGTTAGGCTAGGCCTAGGGTTGGGGATGGACAGTGATTGTAAATGAGGTTTTTAGACTTTCTAAAATTAGATCATGGTGTTGGTTGGACAGTTCTAAATACACTAATAATCATTGATTTCTATACTTAAAATGGGTGAATTGTGTGGTGTGTAAATTACACCTCAGTAAAGCTGTTGATAGTAATAGAAAATATTAAAAATAATTTAAAAACCTAGCAAAGCAGAAGAAAAATGAGCTTGTATGATGTACAATTCTCTGTTCCTAAAAAGCCCCAAGGTAAGTTGCAGTGCCCTTTCCTTTTTCTGAGTAGGCTCAGAATTTGATGGATAAATGCAGTGTGGCCAAAGCCAGAGGGCTTTTTAGAGATGATTGATGCTGCCATGGGCAGAAAAAATGATTAATGACTAATTGTAGAAACAGATGACTGTTAGAGATGGAGGTGGACACTGTGAGCTTCTCAGTGTCCTAGAGGGGTAGTTTAATAATTGGCTGCTTTTTGAATGGGAGTTTAAATTCAAGGATAATAGAAGTATTGAAAGTAAGCCCTGTTCACTTGGTAGCTAAAGGCCTTAAAAGATGGAATGAGTCAGAATCACTCTTGAATCCTAGGTTTCAAAAGAGTAAGTGTCTCTCCAATCCCTAACGGCCACGGTCTCATGGATCTGTTGGGGTCAGGTTTTAGGATAGTAAACATTTAAATCCTACTTAATTTCTATGTATGATATAAAAGGAGGGCTTTTGTTCTCAAATATCTCTTCTAACAGAGTGGAACCCAGCTATGGAGGAGAATATTGCGTATTTGGGTACCGGAGGGCCTATATTGTAGACTAGAGGCTTAAATCTCTGAGCTTCCCTCTGGAAAAGAGGTGGGTTAGATTGTGACTTAGGGAAACATCCCTGTTACGGCATCAGGGGTTGGGAAAGCATATTTGTCTTTGACAGTTAGACCTTCCTTAGGAAGACACAACGGACAACTCTGTGAGGCAGACATTTACTCTGAAAGAACCCCACTCAGCTGTTCGATTAAGCAGCAAAGCAATAACAAATGAAACTAATATTAAAGCTAGGTAATGCTATTTATTTGGGTTTCTTTTTTATAAAAATTTGTAGATATAAAACTCACCAACTTCAAAGTAAAAAAATTTTAAAAATTAAAAATTTTATAATAATAATTATTATTTTATTTTAAAGATTTTTATTTATTTATTTGACAGAGATCACAAGTAAGCAGAGAGGCAGGCAGAGAGAGAGGGGGAAGCAGGCTCCCTGGTGAGCAGAGAGCCCAATGCAGGGCTCGATCTCAGGACCCTGAGATCATGACCTGAGCCTAAGGCAGAGGCTTTAACCCACTGAGCCACCCAGGCACCCCCTTTTATTGTTTTCTGAACATACCAACTTTGCTCCCATCTCACACTTTTGCTTCTGTCATTCCTTCTACCAGGAACATTCTTTCTCCAGATTTCTCCATGTCTCACTTCCTCAGTTCACCCAGACCTGGGTGACCTCTGCACAAATATCTCCTCAGAGAAGCCTTCTCTGACTTTTCTAGTTAAAACACTCCTCCCCCCAAAATCCATTCCTCTATCCTCTCTACCCCCTTTTACCTGTAAAGAGGTGGGATTCTGGACCCAAATAGAGGCAGAGTACATGGATGTAGCTTGGTGAATTTTGTGAAGGAACATTGTTTATTTCTGTTCACTTCATTACTCAAGTGAGAAAGTCATCTGTCGGTTGACAGTGAAGGTAGAGGACCAAGATTCAGAGTTTTGAAAAAAGGGAAGAAAGGAAGGTAGTATTTTCTAAATCACCATAATCCTAGTGTAAATTAGTACTCCAGACATCCTGACAGTCTGAAAGTAGGACCATGGGGGGGGGGGTCCCTCAACTCCTGTCACACATCAGTGATCTACCCCTCCACCCCATAATAGGGTTGGCTTGTCCCCAAATCTCTGCATGTTTTGAATCCAGAGAGAGTGAGGAGAGGCTGAGGTGGGTTTAGGTGGGTCTTTGCCTGAGAGAGGAGTCACTCAGCTCTGGAAGGACAAGGCTTCAGGGGGGCTCAGCTCTGCTGGGCTGAGGAACTCTTTCTGCTTTTGTAGGCTCCCCATTCCTGTATCACACGTAACTCTTCTTTTCTGTCACCTTTAAAAGGTTTTAGCAACCAAGGAGTGTACACCCTGATCCTTGATTGGTGAGGGACACAAAAGAAGGCTGCTCCGGAGGAAGTCATCTGCCTGTGGGACTCTCTCATGGTGAGGACCAAGGAAGGCGCTCAACCACTTACCTTCTGAGTTCAGTGTCTATCTGATAGTTAAGGAATCACAATACCATGTATTGATGGTCATTACCAATGTATTTTCTGTAGATGTTAAATATTGCCTGAAAGATCCAATAAAAATAATGATAGCTACCTTACTGAGTGCCTGTCTCACTTCACTTGATCTTTCCTGAATCAACGTAGGTATAGTCCCTCCCATCAGGTACCCTTAAAACCCATTGCCTCACATTCTCCCCCTGTTTTATCTCTTCTCCCCTCCCCTCCTCTCCCCTCCCTTCCCTTCCTTTTCTCTCCCCTCCTCTCCCTCCCTCCTTTCTCTCTCTCTTCTTTCTTCCTCCCTCCCTTCCTCCCTCCTTCCCTTCCTGCCTTCCCCTCCCTCTCTTTCTTTCTTTTTATCTTTCTCTCTCTTTTTCCCTTTCTTTCATTTTATTTATTTGTTTATTAGCAGGAGCAGGGGACAGACAGAGAAGCAGGCTCCCATTGGAGCAGGGAGCCCCAGGACCCAGAGACCATGACTTGAGCTGAAGGCTAACCCTTAACTGACTGAGCCACTCAGGCACACTTCCCCAGGTTTTTCTAACAGACTTCAGAAAATTTAAGAATTCATTTTGAGTATGATTACCCACTTGCTGATTCTGATTCTGTGTGTCACCCTTTGGCTCATGTTGAGTGTGATCCCCAGTCAGGGGAAGATGACAGGATTTTGTTTTCCTTAGGCAAAGGGGACACTAAAAATCATCCCTCTCCTAATTGTAGCCCTAGTTCATATAGGAAAACTGTATATTCTCTGTAGTATGAATTTATAAGACGTCAACTAATTTGAAACAAAATATAAGGTAGCGTTGGATTGGGCAGTTGAAGGCCCCATGTTCGCAGACCCTCTTCCTCCCTGACCTCCCCCACACTTGACTGGCCTTTACTGGGACAGGGGCTTCCAGGGAAATGGGCTCCGGTTTCAGCCCAGTGCTTTAGTTTGGTTTGAAAAGGACGTTCCCTTTTCCCTCCCTTAATCCTCTAGGTCACTGGTCACCTGCTGGAGGTGGGTTAGTGGGTTAGCCAGCCAGGCACTCCACCAAGGGGGGAAGAAGCCTGTGGGGAGGCCCTAGGTCTTGGGGGTGGTGGTCAGGGAGTGGGGGTGAGGGTGGGGGTCCTCCACGGTGACAGGGGTGGGTGTTGGCCCAGGCCTGCCAGCCAGGAGGACCCGGCGGCCACATGTGGGGGAGGCATAATCACCCCTTTGGAAACAGGCTCTAGGGCGCCATGGATTTCTGTTTTGTTTTACTCAGAACTCAAATTGCTTTCTGTCTTGCGAAGTCTCTTCGATTACTCTCTCTTCCCTCAGGGATCCTATTATCCATGGCTTCCAAGAAAGTGCCTAACTATGGTGAACATTACAGGACAGAAAAATTGAAAGAACGGCCTGAGACAGAGTTAGTTGCTTTCATGGAGGTAAAGGAACGTGGTGTTTTGGGATGTAAGTCATTTGGGTGATGGGACATAAATCCCTTGAGAGCTATTTTGTCTGAGTCATGGCTGTAGTCCCCAGAACTAGAACAGCTCCTGGCAGAGAAAAATTTCTGTGAATGGGAATGAATGATCCAGGATCAAAGGTGGCCA